TAGCTTTTTGGAAATTTGGCTATAAGCCTAATTTTTGATTCTCTACAACTTTTCTATTGACACCAAAATGGGTTTCTTTTGAAGAAAGTGCTCAAACTGGGACATTCCTTCATTTTTGAATCGCCAGTCCTCCATTTTTGAGTCTCACACTTGTCTCACACACAAACCAAAATCCTACTACGAAAGAGGATGCCTGTAACCTCGCAAATTGTCTGTAAAATGGAGCAGAAGTCGTCAATAATAATGGAAATTATTTGGAATGAATTGATGGTTTTATGTTGAAGAAATTTTAGTTCAAAGTCCCACAGTTTTCAATTCACCAACCCAATATGAACAGACTCTAGTCCTCAAATCTTCTTTTTTCTATTTAAAAGCTATTCTTGAAAGAGTAAAATCTGCAAAGATTAAAGAGCCAGCATTTTAGTGAATATTTCACTTACTAGCTTCATTTTATGCAATCATTTACTCACTCTTCATCAACTTTTTTTTCCTATGTGCACTTGGAAAGGTCAAAAAAAGGGGTTGTCCCACTTTGCGAGCCCGATTTTGCTCAGAAAGATGAAAAAGAATTCGAAATTTCAACGCCATTCATTTTTATTGTTTTTTAAACATTGAATAATTTCATTTTTGAGGCATTTAAGTGTTCTCTTTATTTTGGGATGGCCTACAACTACAGCGTCGCACTCCAGAGGGCCTAGATTGGCCAAAATTTCGTCAATCGTTTTGATTTTTCTGGAGGTAACTCTTCAGTATGTCTCCTAAAACAGTGCGCATTATCTAATCGATTCAACCGTTCAACTTTTTTAAATGACCTTCCAAAGTTGAGAGCTCAGTGTCGCTCCGCACGCTACTCAAAATTTTGAAAGTTTCATTTTTTTGATAAAAAGTCTTCAAGCTTTTCATGATTTTTAATAAATTATATTTATTTATCAAATTTAAAAGTGATAGACTATGAAAAAATCAGATTTTCTTGTTTATAAGGCTAAAAAAAGAAGAATCAAAGGCTTCTCTGTGCCTCATAAATCGTTCAAAAGAAAACAGAGTAGTTTTGGTGACATTTCTCGAGAATTTTTGCTCTTAAACAGCGTAAAGCATGTGAAATTTTGTTTATTAATATAAAAAGATCAAATCTAAACGAGATTTTGACAAGATTGCTCTCAAAAAATCCCATAAATGAGTAGCGTGCCGAGCGACACTCTCAACTTCGAGCTCTCAACTTTGGAAGGTCATTTAAAAAAGTTGAACGGTTGAATCGATTAGAAAATGCGCACTGTTTCAGGAGACATACGGAAGAGTTTACTCCAGAAAAATCAAAACGATTGACCAAATTTTGGTCAATCTAGGCCCTCTGAAGTGCGGCGCACCACCCAGAAGTAATCGCACGGCATCTAGCATACGGCATCTAGCATACGGCATCTAGCCGGCATCTGCTCGGCATCTGCGTCGGCATCTAGCGTACGGCACCTAGCGTACGGCATTGCGTACGGCATCTAGCGACGCACTGCGTACGGCATCTAGCGTACGGCATCTAGCGTACGGCATCTAGCGTACGGCATATAGCGTACGGCATATAGCGTACGGCATATAGCGTACGGCATCTAGCGTACGGCATATAGCGTACGGCATATAGCGTACGGCATATAGCGTGCGGCTCTTTTTGAGAATCCGTGTCTTTTGAGGCTTAAAAATACCCGAGTTTTGAGCTTTTGTAATATTTTCAAGGCTTGTAATTTCAAGAGTCTCATTCTTGCTTTAGAATTCAGCTTTAGAGATTCAGCTAAGCCCAGGGCAGCTCCAGCCTTTGTCCGGGTCAGTCTAGAGCCAGCAAGATTCAGGTTCAGCCCAGCTTCCAGTCCAGGTTCAGCCCAGCTTCCAGTCCAGGTTCAGCCCAGCTTCCAGTCCAGGTTCAGCCCAGCTTCCAGTCCAGGTTCAGCCCAGCTTCCAGTCCAGCTACTAAAAATCCATTCTTTCCAAATTGATTAGAGCAACAAATTTTCCATCTTTTCCTCCATTTCTCTCATCGAAAAACCCATCCACATTCCCACAATCATCTCTGGTTTCAAGGTTTCTGCCGCTTCCATCTTTTTCGATAACAAATTCTCCTCAGTCCAGCTCTATCGAAATATGAGACTCGCAAAACGGGCTGCTGAAATTCTTTCTTTTTTTTTACGCTAATTTACCCCAATGGCTTTAGAGGACTAAATGTGGTGTGTGAAAAAGAATTGGAGTATTTGGCTTAGTGGAGAGATTAGCTATAGGCAACCTAGCCACCAGCCATAAAGCTGGCAACGTAAGTATCAGCTTTATGGCTGGTACTAGGGTTGATCCTACAGCAGTCGATCTTGGAGAAGAAGATCTCTGGGATTTCGATCATGTCAACAGATCTAGCCTTTTTGAAACGAGGCTGGGATCAAATCTCTGTCGCTGAGTGCGCGACCATTTGCGCCAACTTTCAGAAACGTCTCGAGACGTTTCTGGTGACCATTTTGAGTCTGTTATGATTCTTTTTGTCATTTTTTCTTTTTCTATATCTGAATCTTATTTTTTGATGGTTTAAAGTTATAAGTTTTGTTATTTACGTAATATTCAAGACCGCCAGAAAATAACAAACTTCAGCCACCTGTTCGACGTCTGACTTGATGCTAGACTTGTTTTTCGGGTTTGCCCTGGTTTTCTTACGCTAAAAAATTCATAACTTTATCATATTTCAAAGAAAAAGACTGAACACATTGTTTAGCTTCTGATCTAGCTTAGCTGACAAGGAGTTGGCTTTGCTTGATCTGGTCTGGACCAGCTATTAGCTTAACTTGCCTAGCTTAACTTGAAGATTTAGCCTAGCTTGAGCTGGCCCTTGCAGGACTTGCCCCGACTTACCCTGACTTACCCTGACTTGGCCTACCCTAGCTTAGCCTAGCCTAACTTGACCTAACTCTGACAAGATTTAGTCTGACTTGGCATAGGCTTTGACTTCACCCAGCTTGCCTAATTGTATCCTTGCCTGCTTGCCTCAACATAAAGCTATAAAGTTTTTTTTCTAAAAATTAGTCCTCTGCTCTCTTTCTTCATTCCATTTAGTTGTATTTGTGTGTTTCAACTGCATCACTCTTTCTTTTTTGTCTTTCTTTCATTCACTTCCACATCCTAATTGATTACCCCCAAAAGACACCAAAGGGATTCGGATCTAATGAGTTTCGGCCTCAGAGACTCACGAAAAGACCTGTGTTGTCAAATTTTCCCGTTCAACTCACTAATTTTATTCCTGAATATTTGTTTTTCTTAGAATGGATATTTAAAGTTGCAAGAGTTGCAAGAGTTTAAAAGATCAGGCTACAAAAGGTTGGCTACTAAGCTGGCTTTGCTCACAAAAAATAGGCTAGTCAGGAACCAGCCCTGGCTTGACTCTAGCTTAGGTTGACTACCCCTAACAGTTAGTCAACCTAAGCTAGAGTTAGTCAACCCAAGCTAGAGTCAACCTAATCCTACCCCTAACAAAGCTTGGTCTGGTTTTGGCTTAGCTCAGACTGACCCTGACTTTCCCCTGGCAAAGCTTGACCTATCATAGCCTCTCACCTATCATAGCTTGCCCTAGCGGGCAGCCTAGCCTAGCCCTGGTAGAACTTGATGGTTTCATTGAGGACGTGGTTGCATATCCGTTTAGCCTGATCCTATCAGTATTTGATCTATCCCAGCTTAGCCAGACCTGGTCCTGGCTTGGTCTTTTACCATAACTGTCTTGGCCCTGATAGAGTCCTGATAGAGAAAAATGATTGTACTTTTAGCAAAAATTATTACAAAAAAATGAGTGCAAAAACCACGCCTTATATACGGGCTTTATATACGCCTTTATATACGCCTTTATATACGCCTTTATATACGCCTTATATGCGCCTTATATACGCCTTATATACGTCTGATATCCGCCTTATATGCATTTTATATACGCCATATATCCGCCTTGTATACGCCTTTATATACGCCTTATATCCGTCTTATATCCGCCTTATATACGCCTTATATACGCCTTATATCCGTCTTATATCCGCCTTATATCCGCCTTATATACGCCTTATATACGCTTTATATACCCCTTTATATCCGCCTTATATACGCCTTATATACGCCTTATATACGCCTTACCAGCGGAAAACGCTCATTAACGTTCGCGTTTTCCACTGGAGAGGTCCACGTTTTCCTCGGCAATCTAAGCCCGCTCCTTTTTGCCAATGGCTGCGCACAGACGGACAGCCGGGCAGACGGACAGACGGACAGACGTCTCTTCTGCTTTATATATAGTAGATAGGCACCTTATATACGCCTTAAATCCGCCTGATATACGCCTTATATACGCCTTAGATCCGCCTTATATAGGCCTTATATACTCCCTATATACGCCTTATAAATACCTCCTTTTAAAGAACTTCAGCTGTTTAACTGATTTGGTCGCAAATTCCCTTCAAATGCAAAGATGTAATTTGCTCGACGTGCAAAGAGGATTACTCGTAGCTACTAAACCAAAAAACCAAAAAACGTCGATTAATCGAGTAAAAATTACCCGAGTAATTATTTAATTATTCAGTTAATTATTTAAATTACTCAGAGAACTCAGGGAAAGGAAAACACTCTAAACTTGTTTCAACGTAGCTGTAAACATGATTCATGACAAGAAAAAGTTGCTCACAATTCATAAAGCAATCCGTGTCAGCTTCTGTAATCACCAAATGTCGTAGATTTTTTTTAAATGTAAAACTTTTACTTCTAAACTTTTCTATTTACTTGTTTCAGTTTATTTTTTCGAGTTTTTCATGTTTTTTATTGTTTTTATTGGATTTTATTGTTTTTTATTGGATTTTATTGGATTTTATTGGATTTTATTGTTTTTATTGGATTTTTATTGTTTTTTATTGTTTTTTATTGTTCTCTATTGGATTTTTATACTCTTAGGCTCATCACCTTGAACTCTCCCCGCTCACAAAAATGATTCTCCGAAAGAAAACGTCAAGATGAGTCGCGACGATCGAGCCAGAGCTTTAAGAGAGTTCGGGAAATCCTTCAAAAAGGTTTTTTTTTATTTCAGAAAAAGTATCGATGCCAACAACGAAGCCAATTATTTGTTTTTCTTTTTCTCAATTAGGTGACACGCTCAAAATCGGCAGCACCGCGGAGAAGAAAACGACGGAAAGATCGAGAGAAAAGGAAGAAAAGGACACGATCCGAGCCATTGCTTTTCCCATCGGATAGACAAAGATTGAGAGATGAAGGAGCTGGGGGAAGGCAAAGGAGTTTGTCGCTAAGGTTTGGTTTGAAGAAAATGGATACGGTAATAGTAGTGAGCCTTAAGCTTTGCCTACTCGAAATCTCGAAAAGCGCATGTTAGAACCTATCGATGTGGGGTCGGAAAATGTAGCTGACGATGAGGGAATGTAGCTGACGATGAGATCTAGTGGGGGATTAAAGTGTTGAGCTTCTGTGAAAAATTGGAAACAGTAAAATAGTCACCACTACTATTAGGGAAAAGACGGTAGTCGAGGATTAGCTGGAAGGCTGGATAAGAGTTTCCCTATAGGATTGGCTATAGGGCCCTATAGGATTAGGTATAGGGCCCTATAGGATTAGCTAAAGGGCCTATAGGATTAGGTATAGGGCCCTATAGGATTAGCTATAGGGCTGAATAAGAGGTTCCCTATAGGATTGGCTATAGGGCCCTATAGGATTAGCTATAGGGCCTATAGGATTAGCTATAGGGCCCTAAAGAATTAGCTATAGGGCTGGATAAGAGTTTCCCTATAGGATTAGCTATAGGGCCTATAGGATTGGGTATAGGGCCCTATAGGATTAGCTATAGGGCTGAATAAGAGGTTCCCTATAGGATTAGCTATAGGGCCCTATAGGATTAGCTATAGGGCCTATAAGATTAACTATAGGGCCCTATAGGATTAGCTGTAGGGCTGGATAAGAGTTTCCCTATAGGATTAGCTATAGGGCCCTATAGGATTAGCTGTAGGGCTGGATAAGCGTTTCCCTATAGAATTAGCTATAGTGCCCTATAGTATTAGCTATAGGGCCCTATAGGATTAGCTATAGGACTCGAGATGTCCCAGTTTGAGCACTTTCTTCAAAAAGAAACCCATTTTAGTATCTCAAGGTATGCGCTGTTTATTAATCCTTCAATGAACCATTTTTGTGATATTTGAATGTACAGAGTTTTCATGTACAGTACAAATGTTCATTTTCATTCAAATGTTCATACAAATGTTCATAAAAATGTTCATTTTCATTCAAATTTTCATTTTCAAGTTTATTAAACCATTCATTGTCATAAAATAAAGCTTTACAAAGTGAAATGATCATTTAAGAAGCTCAATCGATGGCTTGTCGATGACTTGTTTAGGAGATTAGCTTCAGAATCATTTCACATCTTTTAAAACCATCATACCATCATTTCCATTCTGCAGAGATGAGGAACGTCCAAAGAAACATCACGGAGAAAAAGGGGATCGAGTGAGACACAAAAATGGTCATGCGACAGAGCCAAAAGCTGAGAAGATATCACTCGTGAAAGTTTTTGCGCAAAGGAGAGAGCAAAGAATGTTGGCCGTTTATGGAATCAATGGGATACAGGTTTTATATTTGTGAAAAAGGGTAAAGAATAGAATTCTTGAATTCTTGTAAGAATTTTTGTAAAATTTCTATGTAAAATGTAAAATAAAAAACTTTGCGAAGTAAAATTCGTAAAATTCTGTAAAATTTTAAAACTTTGTAATTATCCAGCTCAAGTGAACCCGAAAAGTTGTGTGTAAAATGGTTAAAAAGGTTAAAAACTCTCGAAAAGACTGTACTGTAGGGATATTAAAGCTTTAGAAGTCTACAGTAGCTACAGTGTTTACAGTAGCTACAGTAGAGTGTCTACAGTAGCTAGAATAGAGTGTCTACAGTAGCTACAGTAGATTGTCTACAGAGTGTCTACAGTAGCTACAATAGAGTGTCTACAGTAGCTACAATAGAGTGGCTACAGTAGAGTGTCTACAGTAGCTAGAATAGAGTGTCTACAGTAGCTACAATAGAGTGTCTACAATAGCTACAGTAGCTACAGTAGAGTGTCTACAGAGTGTCTACGGTAGCTACAGTAGATTGTCTACAGAGTGTCTACAGTAGCTACAGTAGAGTGTCTACAGTAGCTACAATAGAGTGTCTACAGTAGCTACAGTAGATTGTCTACAGAGTGTCTACAGTAGCTACAATAGAGTGTCTACAGTAGCTACAATAGAGTGTCTACAATAGCTACAGTAGCTACAGTAGAGTGTCTACAGAGTGTCTACAGTAGCTACAGTAGATTGTCTACAGAGTGTCTACAGTAGCTACAGTAGAGTGTCTACAGTAGCTACAATAGAGTGTCTACAGTAGCTACAGTAGATTGTCTACAGAGTGTCTACAATACCTACAGTAGAGTGTCTACAATAGCTACAGTAGAATGTCTACAGTAGTCTAGAGTACTAAAAGAAACAGTGTATATTTCTGTCGAGTTTTTTTTTCTTTCAAAACTACTATAATCTTACAGCTTTTATCCAATTTATCTATCCAATCTATTCAATTTTTTTGAATTGTTGGTAAAACCTTAAAGAATCAAACAAAAAGTAGACAAAAAGTAGCCAAAAAGTAGCCAAAAAGTAGACGAAAAGTCGATAAATTGATTCAAAATAGAGAAAAGATTATAATAATCTTTGAAAGTTTATTATAATCTTGAAATCTTTGAAAGCTTTAGTGCTTTACGGTTAACGACAGGTCGTAGCGATTATCGGCGGAAGCCAATTTTTTGCCCAACTTGTAGCTCATTTTTAAGCACTTTAAACTTATCAGATCAGGAGGTTTTAATAAGATTTAGATAGCTTAAAACGTGAACTTTCAGAAAATATTTATTTCATCAAAAGTTATTAACAAAAATCGATCTAAAATTGGGCTGGAAGATGGTCAAAAACTCGGCCTCCCCTCCTAAAGCACTTTACATTTTTTAGCAAATATTTTTGAGGAAATAACTGGCATTATTGCAAAATTGAATCCTAAGCTATTGGATGGATCTAATGACAAACAATAATAAGCAATAGATAACAATTATCACTTACAAATCCTTTCCAGACCTCGATTCTCGATGTCGAAGGGCAAGCAGCTGCGAATGCGTTTTATCGATCGATTGACGCGATGCCAAACATGAATGTGGCTCGGATGAAGACCACTGTGCCGCTAGTCTCTGAATTGGTTAGTTTGAAGAAAGAATTGCATTGTAAAAGATGCGAAAAAAAACAAGGAAAGAATTGCAAAAGTAAACTCGGCTCTTTTCCGTTTTCTCGGACGATTTTCCCGGATTTTTAGAGAATTTAAGAGGTTTTTGGGTGTTTTGCAAATGTTCTTTTTTGTAATTTATTTTATTTAAAATCTTATTTACTATTATTATTAACTTTTTAAACATTTCAAGCTTTCGAATGATAGAAAAAGAAGCTGAAAAAAGCTGAAAGAAGCTGAAAGAAGCTGAAAGAAGCTGAAAGAAGCTGAAAGAAGCTGAAAGAAGCTGAAAGAAGCTGAAAGAAGCTGAAAGAAGCTGAAAGAAGCTGAAAGAAGCTGAAAGAAGCTAACGGGATCAACGAATCCTAGAGAAATCAAAGCCAAAGAGATCGGCTAGTTGTTTCTTCATTTTGATTGTTTTTTTTGATAAATCTGAAGAGTCTAAACAATTCTGAAGAGTCCAAGCTTTGTATCATTCGAAAGCTTAAATTTTCCTCTTTAAAACTATACGAAAAGGGAACAATATAACAACAATTCCTCTGTTATAGTTCTCAAAAAGCAAGCAAAGTTATAGTTATTAAAAAAACGTCTTAAACCCTTGAAAAATTCGGGAAAATGAACATAAAGCCATAAAATCGTAGAGTTTCTCTTGCATAGAATGATCTGCATAGAAAAATTTGCATAGAATGATCTTCTAACTTCTAAAGAATGATCAGAATAGTCTCTCAAAGCCTCTTTTTTCTTCTCAAATCACTTTTTGAATGAATCACGTTTCTTTCATGATCAAATAGATCAAATGAATCAAATCAAATGGATCAAATGTTTCCAATAAAAACCAATACAAGCTAGCGTCTTTCTAATCACAAGAGCTCTTCGACTTCTACAAGCTTTGTCACAAGAGCTCTTCGACTTCTACAAGAGCTCTTCGACTTCTGCAAGAGCTCTTCGACTTCTACAAGAGCTCTTCGACTTCTACAAGAGCTCTTCGACTTCTACAAGAGCTCTTCGACTTCTACAAGAGCTCTTCGACTTCTACAAGAGCTCTTCGACTTCTACAAGAGCTCTTCGACTTCTACAAGAGCTCTTCGACTTCTGCAAGAGCTCTTCGACTTCTACAAGAGCTCTTCGACTTCTGCAAGAGCTCTTCGACGGCTTTTATCTTCACAAGTTATTTAGCTTGTCTCTTATATCGTATCTGCTCAATTGTGTTACATAAAGTAAAGCTTTTTGTGAATAATTTGGATAAAATGGATAATTTTGAAAGCTACCCATGATCTTTCCTTCAAATTTTATCAAATTTGACGCATTTAATTAATTTTAATCGTATTCTACTTAAATTTTAATCTCATTTGATAAGAAATCAAACTGTGAATTGAATTTCAAAATTATGAATTGAAAATTTGAAGAAATCTAAAGGAAACGGTTATAGTAGCTTTTCAAAATTCTACTTTCAAAATTCTACTTTCAAAATTATCTACTTTATCTAAATTATTCAGCTTTACTCTATGTAACGATTGAGCAGATACGATATAAGAGTCAAGCTAAATAACTTATGAAGATAAAAGCTTGTAGAAGTCGAAGAGTCTTGTAGTCTTGTAGAAGTCGAAGAGCTCTTTTGACAAGGCTTGTAGAAGTTGAAGAGCTCTTTTGACAAAGCTTGTAGAAGTTGAAGAGCTCTTTTGACAAAGCTTGTCGAAGTCGAAGAGCTCTTTTGACAAAGCTTGTAGAAGTTGAAGAGCTCTTTTGACAAAGCTTGTCGAAGTCGAAGAGCTCTTTTGACAAAGCTTGTAGAAGTTGAAGAGCTCTTTTGACAAAGCTTGTCTAAGTCGAAGAGCTCTTTTGACAAAGCTTGTAGAAGTCGAAGAGCTCTTTTGACAAAGCTTGTCTAAGTCGAAGAGCTCTTTTGACAAAGCTTGTAGAAGTCGAAGAGCTCTTTTGACAAGGCTTGTAGAAGTTGAAGAGCTCTTTTGACAAAGCTTGTAGAAGTCGAAGAGTCTTGTAGTCTTGTAGAAGTTGAAGAGCTCTTTTGACAAAGCTTGTAGAAGTCGAAGAGTCTTGTAGTCTTGTAGAAGTTGAAGAGCTCTTTTGACAAAGCTTGTAGAAGTCGAAGAGTCTTGTAGTCTTGTAGAAGTTGAAGAGCTCTTTTGACAAAGCTTGTAGAAGTCGAAGAGTCTTGTAGTCTTGTAGAGTTGAAGAGCTCTTTTGACAAAGCTTGTAGAAGTCGAAGAGTCTTGTAGTCTTGTAGAAGTTGAAGAGCTCTTTTGACAAAGCTTGTAGAAGTCGAAGAGTCTTGTAGTCTTGTAGAAGTTGAAGAGCTCTTTTGACAAAGCTTGTAGAAGTCGAAGAGTCTTGTAGTCTTGTAGAAGTTGAAGAGCTCTTTTGACAAAGCTTGTAGAAGTCGAAGAGTCTTGTAGTCTTGTAGAAGTTGAAGAGCTCTTTTGACAAAGCTTGTAGAAGTTGAAGAGCTCTTTTGACAAGGCTTGTAGAAGTTGAAGAGCTCTTGTGACAAAGCTTGTCTAAGTCGAAGAGCTCTTTTGACAAAGCTTGTAGAAGTTGAAGAGCTCTTTTGACAAAGCTCTTCGACTTTGACGAGCTTTGTCAAAAGAGCTCTTCGACTAGAGAAATATCATAAAAGATTTTAAAATTGAGTGTTTAAATTTCAGGTGCTAAAGGTAAGCAAAAAAAAAAATGACACGATGAACCACTTCTCTATTCTCCGTAAGCACGTTACGCAACGTTTTGAGGAAAAGGGGGAAAGTGTAAAGGTGTAGGCTTTAGAATCATTGCCGTCAATAACAAAATTGAAAACAATACCTTTAAGATAGAAGCTATTGCAGCTCTTCAGAGCTGCAATAGAAGATTTAAAGTTCGATAGTTGACTGAGAACTGTAGTACTGTAGCGTAGCGCCTAATGTAGCGAGTAAATTGAGATACTTTGTATACAGGACCTTAATTTGAAAATGTTTCCTGTTTCCTGAAAAAATTCGAAAAACTTTACACTTTCTCCTCGCCACTCAACTAGACGGGTCACTAGTTGTTCGCTCTCTCTGTTGCTTTTAAACTTGCTGCGAGAAATCGATGGGAAATTTTTGGCCTCAAGTCTTGAGTACTTGGAAAAAAGGATCTACACGGTGCTATGGGGACTTTTAAGTTTGAAAGTTGTTTAGCGCTTGCTGAAAGCGCTTTCGAAATCGGTTTATAAAAGAAATCATGACTCTTTCCCTGAATCGTGGTCTTTTAAAAGTATCGTGGTCTTTTAAAAGTTTAAAAGTTTAAAAGATTCTTTCAAGAAAGCTTATGACAAACTCAATTTGGATAAATTGAGTTTGTCAAATCCGATCTGATCTCGATCCGATCTTTGCTCCAATCTCTATGCCAGAGTGAGCGCTTTCCCCGCAAGTTTCTAGACAAAAATCAACGCTAAAGGCAATAATTTTTTGAAAAAAAGTGACTTAAACTTGTTAAAGTAGATGTGTTTGATATGTTTCTTTCTTTTTTAACATTAGATTTTTATAAACCCGAATTTTAAACCGAGTTTTAAACCTTTCCCAAAAGTTCCCAATCGATCAATCAGCAAGTTTATTTGCTTTGCAATTTCGTCAACTTTTCGGCTTTATTGACTGCATAGAGCTTCTTCTAACCCTAATGTTTTTTACTAAAAATGTTTTCATTTTTTGTTCTTGTCTGTTGTTCGGGTTTTTGATTGAGTAGCTTTAAAAGTCTATGAGTTTAAAGGTTTTAAAGCCTTAAAAGTCTATGAGTTATGAGGCTTTCTAGCAGGCTTTCTAGCAGGCTTTCTAGCAGGCTTTCTAGCAGGCTTTCTAGCAGGCTTTCTAGCAGGCTTTCTAGCAGGCTTTCTAGCAGGCTTTCTAGCAGGCTTTCTAGCAGGCTTTCTAGCAGGCTTTCTAGCAGGCTTTCTAGCAGGCTTTCTAGCAGGCTTTCTAGCAGGCTTTCTAGCAGCCTTTCTAGCAGCCTTTCTAGCAGGCTTTCTAGCAGCCTTTCTAGCAGGCTTTCTAGCAGCCTTTCTAGCAGCCTTTCTAGCAGCCTTTCTAGCAGCCTTTCTAGCAGGCTTTCAGGCTTAAATAACTTCTTTTTGTACAAAGCAAAAGAAGGATCCCTACATCCGGAAAAAGGATTTAAATGACGGCAAGTTATTCTTTGTGCGACCGCGTAATCGCTCGCCGTTTAGTCTACCGTTTGGGTATAGAAAGCGGCCCGGTAGAATTCTAAGAAATATTTATTTTTTTATTATTTCCCTATGGGCCCTGGTTTCCGAGAAAAACGTGTTCAAAGTTTCAGCAATTTTGGGAAAACTTCCTATAAGACGGCGGCCAGCCCGAAGGGAGTTTCAGCAGCGGTGGCATAGGGGATAGTGTGCAAGATTCCAAAAACAACGGCATTAGTTGCTCTCGGGTTCGATCCCGCTTACCCCCAAATTTTTTTCTTTTTATTTCACAAGTATAAAAAACGTTTTTGTAAGAGTATTAAGATGTTTTTAAAGTATAAAAAGTTAAGGTTTGTCAAAAAATGCGAAACTTTGGACGTTTTTGTCGAGAAACCAAGGCACATGGGGAAAAAATAGGTGTTTTTTAGAGATTGGAGCTAGATCCGGCTTCAAAAATCTGAGATTAGTTGAAACAGCTCTCTAGTTAAATTTTGCGTTCTTTTTGGTACAAATTCTGCATCCTGGTAAACAATTGTGTTCCCAAACAGCAGTTAAACTGAGAGAATGACTGACTAAACTAAACAGGCTGACTTGAAGATCTGACTTTGAGTTTTCTCTCTTCCTTTTCCCAAGGTCTCTACGTCTAATCAGCCATATCATTGTATAGAAAACATTTCAGGCTTTCAAATGATACCAAATAGAGCTTGATTGGATAATTCAGTCCAAGAAAATCAGGCGGCCAGGTACACAAATTGGATCAGCCTCGACTACTCAGAGTTAGTGTTGATTTTTCTGGACTGAATTATCCAACCAAGCTCTATTTGGTATGATTTGAAAGGCTGAAATCTCCTTTACAAAATGGTATCAAAAGTTAGCAATAATATGCTCTCTATGCAAAGTTATAGGCTTTCAAAGTCTGACTACTCATTCAAAAAATTCGAACAACTGAAAAGAGGATTTTTTTTAAAAGCATGATTGCTTGATAGATGTTTGAAATGTTTTCTTTTCATTAACACGGCTGAATATCTTTTTTTTTCGGCAGCTACAGTAGTTTTTATGGTAATGGCTAACCCTGGCTTCTTTTTTTTTTCTTTAGTGCATCGCGCTTTGTTTATAACCGATAGAGGAAGGGCCTGTAAAAGAAAAAAATCATAGAAATTGACAGAAATTGACAGAAATTCATAGGAATTCATAGGAATTCACAGAAATTCATAGAAATTCATAGAAATTCACAGGAATTCACAGAAATTGACAGAAATTCATAGAAATTCACAGAAATTCATAGAAATTCACCAAAATTGTTTATCTAAACACTTTTAAATCTTATCTAACTTTCTATATCGAACTTTTACAGGTCCTATAAAAGATAAAGGCTTTTTAAAAACGAGCTTTAATTTATTTTAGACAATGCAAACGAAGAGAGCCCAAGCCGGTCTTGCCAGCGCTGCAAAGACCACTTTTGGCAATGAGGAATTGGTGAGTTATGGGGAAATATTATAGTAAAACAAAGCTTTGACTTTGTGGCAGTAAAGCTCATTGGTAGCTCATTGGTAAAACTTTTGGACACGGATAAAGTGGTCGAAAGTTCGAATCCTGAATCCGATCGTGAATCCGATCATGCTTTATACAGAATGCGCCAGAATTATGGAAATTTTATCGATTTATTGAGCCTAACTCAGTTCTCGATGCCTTAAATCAAATATTTCTTTTTTGGTAGTAGATTCAGAGTCACTGACTCTGTATTAGACAATTAGACAAAGGAAAAACATTAGACAAAGATAATTGCTTTCTAAAAGTACTGTTTAGGAAACAGTACTAAAAGTACTGTTTAGGAAACAGTACTAAAAGTACTGTTTCCTAAACAGTAACTGTTTCCTGAAAATTATTTAAAGCGCGCGCGTCGGGATTTCACGGCCGAAAGACTGAATAGTTCTAAAATCACGTTTTAACAATGGAAAATCAACTGAATAAGCTGGCCAAATGACATGAGCTTAGTTACTTCTTGACTGACATAATAGTAAGCTACCGTAGTCAATTCATTGGATTCTAGACCTGTAAGGCAAGGCTAGAAGCCAGCTCTAAGCCTGGTGGATTCAATTCAATTTCAACTCAATAATCTGGCCACAAGACCCCAGTCTAGACTGAATACCGTAAACCAGCCAATCTAGACTGAATATCAAATCTAAGCTGAATACCCTAATCTAGACTGAATACCGTAATCCAATTAATCTAGACTGAGCGCTATACTAATCTGAATACCGTAATCTAGACTGAATACCGTAATCCAGCTAGTCTAGATTGCTGAATCAGAATGCAGAATCCAATGAATTGACTAATTTGCTGGCCAGGCAAAAACCAGAGAGGCCAAGAACTGGGTCAGAACACTAGACCAAGAACTGGGCTAGAACACTAGGCCAAGAACTGGACCAGAACACTAGACCAAGAACTGGGCTAGAACACTAGGCCAAGAACTAGGTCAGAACACTAGGCCAAGAACTGGGCTAGAACACTAGACCAAGAACTGGGCTAGAACACTAGGCCAAGAACTAGGTCAGAACACTAGGCCAAGAACTGGCATCTGACCAAGCTCTGGTCTTGTTTTACGATTTTGGCTTAGAAAAATCTTTAATCTTCTTCATCACCTCCATTAACTACCACGTTTTCCAGAAAGCTTTGGTCTATCGAAAAACTCTGCAAGCCGTCATCTACCCAATCTCGTGCACGACACCGCACAACTTTCAGACGACGAATTTCCAGACGCCTACCTGGTGCTACGAGTGCGAGGGTTTACTGTGGGGACTCGCGCGACAAGGTTCCCATAAAATTAATCCTCCTTTTTACCGTAAACTTTTACCGTAGACTTTTACCGTAATCTTTTACACAAATATTTACAAGATTAAGATTTTACAAAGGATTTTCTTCATAGAAATCTATAGAAAGAATAGAGAAATAGAATAGAAATAGAAATAAAACAAGTTTAAGGCTTTAAAACTGAGTTTAAAAGGTTTAAAACTTAGTTTAAAACTTTAAAACTTAGTTTAAAAGGTTTAAAAATTAGTTTAAAAGGTTTAAAACTTAGTTTAAGGCTTTAAAACTTAGTTTAAGGCTTTAAAACTTAGTTTAAAAGGTTTAAAACTTAGTTTAAGGCTTTAAAACTTAGTTTAAGGCTTTAAAACTGAGTTTAAAAGGTTTAAAAATTAGTTTAAAAGGTTTAAAACTTAGTTTAAGGCTTTAAAACTTAGTTTAAGGCTTTAAAACTTAGTTTAAAAGGTTTAAAAATTAGTTTAAGGCTTTAAAACTTAGTTTAAGGCTTTAAAACTTAGTTTAAAAGGTTTAAAACTTAGTTTAAGGCTTTAAAACTTAGTTTAAGGCTTTAAAACTGAGTTTAAAGGGTTTAAAACTTAGTTTAAAAGGTTTAAAACTTACTTTAAAGCTTTAAAAACTAGTTTAAAACTTTAAACCCTAGTTTAAAGCTTTCATAACTCTTTTCACAAGCCGTCATTCACTGATAGTCACAATAAAACGATTTCTAGGCCTGGAAATTAACCCCCAAACGTTTATTGGCTTACAAAGTACTTTTGATGACTATAACTTTTCATAGAGTTAGCTAATTTGCATGGTTTTTTAGTCATTCGACGCGGGAGAACATTTCCTATCGATTGACATCAAAACCATGCAAATTAAAGAAGTCTATAAAAAGTTATAGCCAAAACTACACCTATAAACGTTTGGGGACTTGTTAAGGACTAATATCCAGGTCCCAATAACACATAAAGTAGACAAAAAGTACTTACAGCACCAAAAAACTAACTATAAGCTTACTGTAGGCTTATTATAAGCTTACTATAGGCTTATTATAAGCCCGTAAGCTCATCATAAGCCTACACTAAGCTTAGATAGTAAAACTGTAATCAAATTTAGTCGCAGAAGTTAGTTTAAGAAATAACCAGTGATTTCCAGCTGGTAAGTGTGCAGACAAATGGAGAGAAGTGATCACAAATGGGTAAAAAGAATAATCTCTGATACATTCCGAGCCGCTCGCTTGACGTAGATCCGTCCTCTTTTTTTTTTACAAATTCTCTCTTAAGATTCTCTCCTTTTTCTCCGTGTTGCTAGAGATGTTTTTTCGTATTTTTGGAAAGGGCTCTTGTGAGAAAAATGGCTGATTTGTGAGAGTTCTTGGTTGAGTTTTGAAATTAGTCAAATATTAGCAAAATAAAATTATTGACGACTTCTGCCCATTTTACAGGCAATTTGCGGATTCCTCTTTCGTAGTAGGATTTTGGTTTGTGTGTGAGACAAGTGTGAGACTCAAAAATGGAGGACTGGAGATGGAGACTGGAGATGTCCCAGTTTGAGCACTTTCTTCAAAAGAAACCCATTTTGGTGTCAATAGAAAAGTTGTAGAGAATCAAAAATTAGGCTTATAGCCAAATTTCCAAAAAGATACACTTAGTAGTTTTGCTTAAAATGCAAGTTTTGTGAAAAGTTGGCACAATTTGGCGTAAATTTGGCATTTCTTGAAAACCAAAATGAAAAATGAAAAATGGTCAAAATACGGCTGGGAAAATGCCCGTACAGTAAGGCAGACAGAAAGACAGACAGAAAGACAGACAGATACCGTAACCCCCCCCCCTCCTTTTCCGCCATTTGTGAAAATTCGTAAATTTGGCTTTCTTGAAAACCAAAATGAAAAATAAAATATTGATCAAAATACGGCTAGAAAAATGCCCGTACAGTAAGGCAGACAGAAAGACAGACAGAAAGACAGACAGATACCGTAACCCCCCCCCCCTCCTTTTCCGTCATTTCATTTGTGAAAATTCGTAAATTTGGCATTTCTTGAAAACCAAAATGAAAAATAAAATATTGATCAAAATACGGCTAGAAAAATGCCCGTACAGTAAGGCAGACAGAAAGACAGACAGAAAGACAGACAGATACCGTAACCGCCCCCCCCTCCCCCTCCTTTTCCGTCATTTCATTTGTGAAAATTCGTAAATTTGACATTTCTTGAAAACCAGTTTTTGAATCGTTCTGAAAATTTGGATATAAGCTTGATTTTTGATTCTCTACGACTTTTCTATTGACACCAAAATGGGTTTCTTTTGAAGAAAGTGCTCAAACTGTCACATATGAGAATAGCCCGCAGCTTTCAATTCACCAACCCAATAGATTGAAAACCAAAATTCAATCAAGAACTTGGACAAAAAAGAAGCTGAAATCCCCTCAAAAAAAAATGTTTGTTTTCTTCTAATCCCTGAAAAAAAACTGCCAGCCAAATGTTTCTTTTTTGCAAATTTTTTTGAATGTTGTAACCTAGATGGCATGTCAGAATTTTTTTATTGAAATTTTGCTGTCCGTCCAACAAATATTTGGAGAGAAAGAGTCCAAGAGGCGTACTTTGAGCTGAGCGCCGTAAACGAACGATTGCTGGAGCACTGAAATCTTCTTAAAGATCTTTAAGAAGATTCTTAGATTCCTGGATTCCTAGATTCCTGGATTCCTAGATTCCTGGATTCCTGGATTCCTGGATTCCTGGGTTCCTAGATTCCTAGATTCTAAGATTCTTAGATTCTTAGATTCCTAGATCTCTAGATTCTTAGATTCTTAGATTCTTAGATTCTTAGATTCTTAGATTCCTAGATCTCTAGATTCTTAGATTCTTAGATTCCTAGATTCTTAGATTCCTAGATCTCTAGATTCCTAGATTCTTAGATTCCTAGATCTCTAGATTCCTAGATTCCTAGATTCCTAGATCTCTAGATTCCTAGATTCTTAGATTCCTAGATTCCTAGATTCCTAGATTCTTAGAAGAATTCAGTTCGCCAGACGCTAGCGTTTACGTTCGTGCTCAAAAGACGCAGTCCATTAAACGAGAGAGAGAGAAATTTTCCAACTACTAACAAAAACAAACGCTTTCCATGTGTTCCTCCTCAAGAATCTAACTGAAAATCGTTTACAAATTGAATTTCATTTAGATTTAGCCATTTAAATCTATTAATTTCTATACTTTTCCAAGAAAAAAACCGCTTTTTTTTTTCATTTTTGGGCTTATTCCCTTTTATTTCCCCAGAAAATCCTATAGCTAATTAGTCTAAATAGGCAAATCGATAGGGAAATACGCATGAAAATGAGTCTGCTTTTCGATTTTTATCATTTAATACAGTTTACCAAAAATTGGGGTAGGCTAGTTTCCGCAACTTTTTTTGCGCAACTGGGTCGTTGCGCAACTGGCCATAACTTTCTTCTAAGTCGGCCAATCTTTATGTTTTTGGTGTCATTTTGTTGCACTTATTGAGATCTACAAAATGACACCAAAAACATAAAGATTGGCTTACTTAGAAAAAAGTTATGGCGAGTTGCGCAAAAGGACCCTGTTGCGCCAAAAAGTTTCGGAAACTAGCCTACCCCGAAGGCTAGTTTCCGTTTCAAGCAGCCTATCAAGCTACTTAATCATTATTACAAATGTTTACATGTTTTCCCACTATTATAAACACAAAATATCAACAAAAATCTATTGATTTTAAAGTTTTACAAAAAAAATACTAATAAAAACTTGTTTTTAATGTAAAAAAAAACTGTAAGCTTAAAAAAAAACTTTTGGAATTCAAAATGACCACCATTAGCATTATAATAGATTTTCTTAAGCGCTTTAGGAAATCATCAATGGTTTTTTTTCAATCGTGCTGATAGAGCTTTGAAAAATCAGCATTCAATGCTCAAATCAAGTATTCAAAGTTCAAACCAAGCATTCAACGCTCAAACCAAGCATTCAACGCTCAAATCAAGCATTCAACCCTCAAACCAAGCATTCAACGCTCAAACCAAGCATTCAACGCTCAAATCAAGCATTCAACCCTCAAACCAAGCATTCAACGCTCAAACCAAGCATTCAACGCTCAAATCAAGCACTCAACGCTCAAATCAAGCATTCAACGCTCAAACCAAGCATTCAACGCTCAAATCAAGCACTCAACGCCTTGAAAAGCCTTGAAAAATCAAGCCAAGCCTTGTTTCAAGGAGTCAAGTTAGTCAGTTAGTCAAGTTTCAAGGAGTTAACGTATGAGCACGTTAAAGTACAAATCTTTGTAGGTGATGATATTTGATTAGCTTGAATAGCTTGAATAGCTTGAATAGCGAATAGCTGAATAGCTTGAATAGCTTGAATAGCTTGAATAGCTTGAATAGCTTGAATAGCTTCATAGCTTGAATAGCTTCATAGCTTGAAATTTGGCTCATAAAGCCCATTTGACTTTTTTTGACTCTAATCTACTGCATAAAGGATGTCTAAAGTAGCAACTTTTGATAAAAGGATAAGCTACTTACAGTAAGTTTTACAGACTACTTACAGTAAGTTTCCCCTCAAAACATAAAGCACCTAGTGCACTAGGACTTAAGAAATTGAAAAACAATTGGAAAAAGCTGTCTGAAAACTTTAAACTTTAAAAGTTATCTCTTTAAGAGACTCATTTTCATGTGTACCCTTTTATCAACATTAAATTATCTATTTTTTTTTTGTTTGCTTTACTTAGAGGTACGAAGTAAATTCGCTGAGAAATCGCCTATCCGCATGGTTGACCCTTTTTGATCAAAAAAAGAAAAGAAACCCATAGAATATGGAAGCATATGCAAATTCAAAAATTTCAATCTCAATTTCCAGGCCTGCGCTGCACGGAATGTGGAGTGAAAGTACACGAGAAATGCCGGGAATTGTTGTCGGCGGATTGTTTACAAAGTGAGTTTGAAAATTGGGATTGAAGAAGGGATTGCTTTAAATTGAGATGGAAGAAGGGAGATGGCTTTAAATAATAAAGAAGTCAAAGAATTGGCGAGGAAAAGGAGATTTCCGGAGAGCCAGTTAAGCTAATAAGCTCGTCGAAACCAAAATCAGCTCAAGGCCAAGGTCCGACTTTGGATTCTCGCTTCTGACTTCTGACGCTTCGGTTCTGGCTAGGCTAGAGCAGTAAAGCCCTTAGGTCAGATTCAAGATCTTGACATTGACGTTCAAAAGCTTAACGTTCACATTCAAAATCTTAACATTGTTCAAGAGCTTGACCTTGACGTTCAAAAGCTTGATGTTGACGTCCAAGAGCTTGACGTTGTTCAAGAGCTTGACGTTGTTCAAGAGCTTGACGTTAACGTTCAAAATCTGAATGTTGACGTTCAAGGCCTTAACGTGGACGTTCAAAATCTTGACGTAGACGTTGAAGATCTTAATGTTGACGTTGAAGATCTTGATCTTGACGTTCAAGGTCTTGACGTCGACGTTGAAGATCTTGACGTTGAGGTGCAAGATCTTAATGTTGACGTTCAAGATCTTGACGTTGGCGTCCAAGAGCTTGATGTTGTTCAAGAGCTTGACGTTAACGTTCAAAATCTGGATGTTGACGTTCAAGGCCTTAACGTGGACGTTCAAAATCTTAATGTTGACGTTGAAGATCTTGATCTTGATGTTCAAGATCTTGACGTCTTGATGGTTCAAGGTTTATACCAGGATTAGGCCCGGAATCCTGACCTGAGCCCGTATGCTACGCTCCGGGAAAGTTTCTCACGGAAAATTTTTGACTTTCCGGCGACTACTACGCTTTTTTGGGAATTTCCCGCAGCATAGCAGGCCTCTGCCGGAAACTTTCCCGGAAAACTTTCAGTTTCCCGCTGCCGGAGGATTTCTTTCCGGCAGAGTTTCCGACGGAAACTTTCCCGGAGCAAAGCAAACGGGCTCTGGATGGTTTTTAGATCAGTGTTTGGGCTGGGCTGGGCAATGATGACTCAAGTGTTGTTGAGCTGTGGCAGGGTTAGGCTAGACAAGAAGGAAAGCCAGATTAGAGCCAGATCCGAGAATTCTAGCGGTTTCCGGGTCAAAGCCAGAGCACTCTAAAGCTAATTATAAGTTAGGATCAGGCTAGCAGCAAAGTCAGCCTCAGACGTGATCCGGAAAGATCTATTTAGGACATTTTGGCCATAGGTGATCCTAAAACCAGGATTAAGCCAGTTTCAGGTTCTTGATCAGGCCAGGTACAGCGGCCAGGTAATCGTCAAAGTACAGCGTTTCAATAGACACCTAGTTTGGTTTTAAAAAGGCTCACAAAACAAATCTCAGGAGCTGCCGAGAAATCGTCAAAGCACGGCGAGGGTGATCGAACACAAAGCTTAATAGCCGGGATAAAGGATCGGATGAAAATTCAAGAGAGAAACAAGCCGGAACTCTTCGAAACGATTAGGTAAAAGAGTTGACAACAATAATAGACAATAGACAATAGACAACTAAAAATAATAACCCATAAAAATTAAAGACAAGTCTTCGGGGTGGACGACCGAACACAAACAGAGACGCTGAAACAAGTGAAAGCCTCAGTTTTGGAGGGAAGCAGCAAATGGAGTGCGAAGATTACGTTGACAGGTTTATCTTTTTGTTGTTAGAACTTTTCATAACATAAGATGTACATAACAAGTACATAACAAGTACATGTTACGATGTACTTGTTACGATGTACATGTCACGATGTACATGTCACGATGTACATGTTACGCTGTACATGTTACGATGTACATATTACGATGTACATGTTACGATGTACATATTACGATGTACATGTTACGATATACATGTTACGATGTACATGTTACGATGTACATGTTATGATGTACTTGTTACGATGTACATAACAAGTACATATTACGATGTACATATTACGATGTACATGTCACGATGTACATGTTATGATGTACATGTCACGATGTACATAACAAGTACATGTTACGATGTACATAACAAGTACCTGTTACGATGTAAATGTTATGATGTACATGTTACGATGTACATGTTACGATGTACATATTACGATGTACATGTTACGATGTACCTGTTACGATGTACCTGTTACGATGTACATGTACTTGTTATGTATGTACTATATTTAGTGATCTGTGCCCAGGGATTGATTGCAAAGGACAAGACTGGGAAGAGTGATCCGTATGTGACGGCACAGGTGGGGCTTTAGATGACTTGTGAGCGTAATTTGTGCCAACTTATTGGTTACGGTAGTTTGCTATTATCCAGTTTATGGGTTACGGTAGAATGACAGCTCATTTCCAGTTACCGTAACTTGAATTATGAGTTATCAGTACGGTAGTTCGATACTACAGTGGAACATCGATATAACGGACTTTAAGACGGGCCAAGATTGGCCAAGATTGACCAAGATTGGCCCCTTCCTTGGCCTTTCAAGATCAAGATTGGCCAAGATTGACCAAGATTGGCCCCTTCCTTGGCCTTTCAAAATCAAGATTGGCCAAGATTGACCAAGATTGGCCCCTTCCTTGGCCTTTCAAGATCAAGATTGGCCAAGATTGACCAAGATTGGCCCCTTCCTTGGCCTTTCAAGATCAAGACTGGCCAAGATTGGCCTTTCAAGATCAAGATTGGCAAGATTGACCTTTCAAGATCTAAACACCTTTATTCCCATCACGTTTTTCATATTTACCATATACTTTTGCTTGAATCAAGCAACCCAAAGCCGTTTCGAGCTCCGTTTCCTCGTCTTCAACCTTCACCCGATCTGACTTCTGGCCCCACCTTTCATTCTTAATTGCTTCAAACAGTTCTCGCATCTTTCCCAAAATCGTTGCGATTGTTGATTTAGACAATTCCTTTGCCACTTAGACAATTCCGTTGTCACTTAGACAATTCCGTTGTCACTTAGACAATTCCTTTGCCACTTAGACAATTCCTTTGCCACTTAGACAATTCCTTTGCCACTTAGACAATTCCTTTGCCACTTAGACAATTCCTTTGCCACTTAGACAATTCCTTTGCCACTTGGACAATTCCTTTGCCAATTGAATCACTTGTTCAGCATCAATGATTCGCTTCTTCAATTCAAAATCAATTTTTCGAGGAGTAGAACCCGCTCGCTTCACCTAAAAAAATTATAAACTGTGTTTTTTCATTAAACATATTCTATTTCTAATAGGACTCAGCTTTTAAAGAAGCTGACACAATTTTGAGCAACAACAAAAGCTTTGCTCAAAAGGGGTAGAGCTAGTTTTGTTTTAAACGAAATGTCAAAGCTTACATATTTAAAAAATCAGAGTTAGACGAAATTTAACTTCGCTATATCGAAGTTTGACTGTACCTGGGTTATGGATCATACTTGGGTAGAGTCAGTTCCAAAGTTAACCTGGCTACCGTAGCCTGTACTATGAGTTATTGTGATTACTAGCTGGATTATGGGGTTACGGTACCAGATCATGCTTTAGAAAGGCAATAGGCGATCAAAAGTGTGACCTAGTTACCATAATCGCATGTTAGCCTGATCATATATCATGCAATTCAGGTAGGAAAAGTGCGACGCCGAACGCGAACGATTCATCAAGAGTTGAACCCGGTTTGGAGCGAGAAATTCTTCTTGTAAGTTGTAAAATAAAACAATAATAAGCTAAAGCTAATAAATAAAATAAATTTAGAAGCTAATAGAAATATGGAAAAATAAAAATTCTTTAGTGAATGTCACAATTCGACTGATCGAATCAAGATCCGCGTTTGGGATGAGGACAACGATTTGAAAAGCAAATTGAGACAGGTATGGCTTTGGGAAAGCTTTGGGAAATCGTTTAGATTTGTAGAGGTTTAGAATTGTAGAGGTTTAGAATATAAATGTGAATTCAAAGATGATCGCAAATTTTCAGAAGCTTACGCGCGAGAGTGACGATTTCTTGGGTCAAACGGTGATCGAGGTGCGAACGCTGAGCGGGGAAATGGATGTTTGGTATAATTTGGGTAAGTTATTTGTAAAAGAAATGAAATTAAAGCTGAAATCGAGCTTTCTATCGATAGAAAGCTCGATAGAAGCTCTATCTTTCAAGAAAAAGATAAACCCTCTATGTTATTGAGTAGTGTTAGTGTTATCATAGTGTTAAACTTGAAAGAGTGAACTGAGCTTCGTTGTGAGCTTTGTGCTCAATCTAGTGAACACATTATGGTTGGTGCAATCGTTTCTTTCTTTTCTTCATTCCCATTGTGACAAGAAGTTGATTTTGCGAAGAAAATCAAGAATTCAGTGCCCCAGAAACAGTGTGTTTATACGATTCGAGCACAAAGCTCACAACGAAGAAGAGATAGTCCATAGGTTCATAAGTCCATAAGTCCATAAGTCCACGAGTCCATAAGTCCACAAGTCCATCAGTCCATAGGTTCATAAGTCCATAAGTCCATAAGTCCATAGGTCCACAAGTCCATAAGTCCATAAGTCCACAAGTCCATAGGTTCATAAGTCCACAAGTCCATAAGTCCATAAGTCCAACGATAGTCCATAAGTCCATAAGTCCATAAGTCCACAAGTCCATAAGTCCATAGGTTCATAAGTCCATAAGTCCATAAGTCCATAGGTTCATAAGTCCACAAGTCCATAAGTCCATAAGTCCAACGATAGTCCATAAGTCCATAAGTCCATAAGTCCATAAGTACATAAGTCCATAGGTCCACAAGTCCATAAGTCCATAAGTCCACAAGTCCATAGGTTCATAAGTCCACAAGTCCATAAGTCCATAAGTCCAACGATAGTCCATAATTCCACAAGTCCACAAGTCCACAAGTCCATAAGTCCATAGGTTCATAAGTCCACAAGTCCATAAGTCCATAAGTCCACAAGTTCACAGGTCCATAAGTCCATAAGTCCATAAGTCCAACGATAGTCCATAAGTCGATGAGATTAAACCACCCCACTATTAGATTCCACAGTACGCTATCGTATAAATTTTAAAATCTGACTACATTACCGCATTTTAGAAAAGAGAACCGACAAATCGGCTGTCTCGGGAGCGATCCGTTTGCACATTTCGGTGGAGATTAAAGGAGAGGAAAAGCTGGCTCCATATCATGTACAGTACACATGTCTACACGAGCATTTATTCTCGGTGAGTGATAGTTCATCAGAAATAGATAGTTTATTAGAAATCTACGTATAAAAACGTATAAAATCTACGTATAAATACGGACAATACGTAAAATGCTAGGGTATCAAAAAATTTGAGAAGAATTGATGGCTTGGCTGTTGAGAAATCACCGTGTAAAGTTTGCTGAGAACTTTTCCGAGAACTTTTCCAAGAAGAGCACAAGAACTCTATCCAACCTAATAGCTAGCTAAATGTAAATTTCAAAATTTCAGTCACATTGCACCGACAACGACGAGGTTCGGCTCCCGGATGCGAAAGGCGAGGACGCTTGGAAGGTAGCTTTTTATCAGATCCATTATCTAAAAACATTTTTGGAGATTTTTTGAATAAAATCCCTGCATTTCTCCTTGCACTCCATAAAGATTTCATCGATTTTATTCGGATTTTTAGACGTTTAGACGTTTAGACGAATTAAATGCAAGCTGGTAGACCCAATAAAATGAATATCTTCAAATTCTGAGTTTTCTGGGATGTAGTTTTCTGGGAGTTATGAAAGTAGTGATCTATTGAGAGTTGTTGAATCTATTGAGAGTTGTATCGAGTAAGACAACACTGAACTCTACTAATATAAATTAAAATTTGTTTTAAAAGTGTATCATTTTCAACTTTACAACCCAAGAGTCAAAAGTTGTTCAGGTGTTTTTCGAGGAAATCTCGCAGGAGGTGATCGACGAGTTCGCGATGCGTTACGGTATCGAGGGGATCTACCAGGTGAGCTAAACGATCTAAAGCTGACTAAAATGGTGCTAAGTCTTGGCTGACAAAGTCGGCTATAGTAAATTGTAAGTAAAGTAATTTAAAGGAATCAAGTAAACTAGATCTAGAGAAATCTGGACCCGGGTTATGCCAGGGAAGGCTGGTAATGCCAGAGAAGGCTGGTAATGCCAGGGAAGGCTGGTAATCCCAGGGAAAGTTGGTAATGCCAGGGAAGGCTGGTAATGCCAGAGAAAGTTGGTAATGCCAGGGAAGGCTGGTAATGCCAGGGAAAGCTGGTAATGCCAGGGAAAGCTGGTAATGCCAGAGAAGGCTGGTAATGCTAGGGAAGGCTGGTAATCCCAGAGAAAGTTGGTAATGCCAGGGAAGGCTGGTGATGCCAGGGAAGGCTGGTAATGCCAGAGAAAGTTGGTAATGCCAGGGAAGGCTGGTGATGCCAGGGAAGGCTGGTAATGCCAGAGAAAGTTGGTAATGCCAGGGAAGGCTGGTGATGCCAGGGAAGGCTGGTAATGCCAGAGAAAGTTGGTAATGCCAGGGAAGGCTGGTGATGCCAGGGAGGGCTGGTAATGCTAGGGAAGGCTGGTAATGCTAGGGAAGGCTGGTGATGCCAGGGAAGGCTGGTAATGCCAGGGAAGGCTGGTAATGCCAGGAAAAGCTTCTGACCAGATTCTAATTCTGATTCTGGTTTAGCCTGCTTGAAAATGACTTTTAGAAGAACCCAACTGGTCAACAATTTCCCTAGCTTTTCCCTAACAATTCCCCAATTCCCCAATTTCCCAATTTCCCCATTTCCCTAGCTCTAGCCTGACATGTCTTTAATTTCTAATTAAAAGCACAAGTCACAAAGTACATTTCCAGGCGATGACCCATTTCGCGTGCCTCTGCACCCGGTACATGTGTGGCTCTGTGCCCGCCGTTCTCTCAACTCTTCTCGCCAACATCAATGCCTTCTATGCACATACAACAGTCACTTCCACTGTGTCAGCATCGGATCGTTTCTCAGCGACGAATTTTGGAAAGGTGAATCTAGACATCTGCTAAAGTACTCTAGCTGCAGTGCCATAAGTGTATTGCAGCGTACGGCATACTGTACAGCATTCTGTACAGCGTACTGTACGGCATACTGTACGGCATACTGTACGGCATACTGTACGGTATACTAATTGTGATCCAAGAGCTTTACATAGCTTACATTTAAGTCCAAAGTCTAAAGCTTTCTCGACGCAATTTCAATTGAGCAAATTGAGCAAAAAGTACACCAGAAAGAATAGGTTTAACTTTAACTGGATTCTGTACAGAAAAGAAAGGTAAACCGACACAGTCTATAGGTGAAAATCCATCCATTTCATCCATTCCATCCATTCCATCCATTCTCTCCATTTCCAACCCGAAAACCCATCAAAATTCTCATTTCTCTTTGAAAATCCCGATAATTTTACCCTAAATTTTCTTAATTTCCCCTCAAATTTTTGTTATTAAATCTCAAAAACTTATTGTTAAAAATATACATTTATTGAAAATCAATAATGCGATACAAACAAAGGACAAGAAGAAATGAAGGTTTTTTTAAAGACATGAGGGTTAAAGACTTGAGGGTTATAGACTTGAGGGTTAGAGATCTGAAGGCTAAAGCCATAAGGCTAAAGACATCAAGGTCAAAGACTTGAGGGTTAAAGACATGAAGGTTAAAGAGATGAAGGCTAGATGCATGAAAGGTACAGACATAAGGCTAAAGACTTCAGGGTTAAAGGCATAAGGGTTAAAGACTTCAGGGTTAAAGACTTCAGGGTTAAAGACTTCAGGGTTAAAGACTTCAGGGTTAAAGACATAAGGGTTAAAGACTTCAGGGTTAAAGACTTCAGGGTTAAAGACATAAGGGTTAAAGACTTCAGGGTTAAAGACTTCAGGGTTAAAGACATAAGGGTTAAAGACTTCAGGGTTAAAGACTTCAGGGTTAAAGACTTCAGGGTTAAAGACATGAGGATTAAAGACCTGAAGGCTAAAGTCATGAAGGTTAAAGTCATGAAGGTTTTTTAAAGACACAATTTTATGGCACTGCGCCCGTTGTTACCCCTATTACCCCTATTAACCAAATGAAAGAAAGAACCCTTGAGTGGGAAAAAGAAACATTTAAATCTTGCCAGCGTGATTGATTGAAGTCTTGCCAGCGTGATTGAACCCTCGACCTTCAGCTTAAGAGACAAGACTCCCAACCGGTTGACCATCTGGCCTTAAATTTAAAAATATAAAAAACTAGATTAGAAATATTTTGCCTTTATCTTAGAATATTTGAGGATATTTGAGTTTAAAGTTGGATTGCCAAAGGCAAAGGGGCGTAGCGCGTATCAAATGTCCCACAATTATTGATCAATTGATATCAATCCTATTTTCCAAAGATTTTTAGCCGTTTCTTTACATTTTCTTTTAAAAAACTTCCGGAAATCCTACAAAAAACAGAAAATTTTTCGATTAAATCCTTTAGAGAAAAGCTATTTTTATCTATTTTCTGAAAAAAACTTTGAAAAAACTCTCGTAATAATCTTTGAGAGATTTCGAAATGAAAAAGAGGATTAATTTGAAAGAAAGAACGGCAAAATGACTCAAAATATCGTTTTTTTTAAATTTCTATAGTTCTAAAAATAGAATGGATTAGGAAAAGAAAATGGATTTTGAAGAAAATGAATTTTAAAGAGAATGGATTTTGAATATTGAACTGGAAACTTCGTGAGCGGTTGTCTGATCCATTTGTTCAATGAAGCGAACCCTAGCCACTGTATCCTAAATCAAAATCGGGTCAAGGCCAGGATCCGACGTTGGATTTTTGCTTCTGACTTCTGACGCTGGCCAGGCTAGAGCAGTAAAGCCATTAGGTCAGATTTAAGATCTTGACGTTGATATGGGGTACGGTAAGAGGAAATAAATGTTGCATCGTTGGTTCTCCAGCTAATGGCTAGCCAAGGCAAGCAAATCAATGCTAGCCAGGCTAGGCCAGAGCTGTTCTGCTTCCCGAAATCCAGAAAGTCCAGGATGCGCCTGAGAAAGTCCAGGATGCGCTTGAGAAAGTCCAGGATGCGCCTGAGAAAGTCCAGGATGCGCCTGAGAAAGTCCAGGATGCGCCTGAGAAAGTCCAGGATGCGCCTGAGAAAGTCCAGGATGCGCCAGGATTTTTCCAAACGCTCCAGAGCATCAATCTTGGTTCCAACAACAACAACAACAACAACATCAAGTCCCAACAAGTCCCAACAAAGTCCCAACAAGTCCCAACAAAGTCCCAACAAGTCCCAACAAAGTTCTAACCAATTTCCATTAGCGATCCAACTTTGAACTCAAATATCTCGGTGTTGGGCTGTCCAATTTCAATATTCTTGGTATCATTAGATGCGCAAAGACTTTCTCTGTCGATTGGTATAAAAACTATTGAAATTAAACAGCCCAACACCAAGATATTTGAGTTTAAAGTTGAATTGCCAATGGCAAAGGGGCGTAGCGCGTATCAAATGTCCCACAATCTTTCCCAAATATCCCCACACCTGTATTTCTGCCCATCTTTTTAAAAGGAAGTCATTTTCCTGTTTAATATATCTTTAAAAATCAATCGTTAAAGTTTGAGTTGAGTTTTTGAGTTGATTTCTCTTTTATCAGTTTCTATCGATGAAAAATCTTGGTTGCAATAATCTTTCCTGTATTTCCTAATAATCTTGGCACAATCTTGCAATAATCTTGGCTGTATGTGCATAGTATTCTCGCGGAATTTTCTGGTGGATTCGGGAAATCTTCCGGTAAAGCCGGAAGAAGGCTGAAGCCCATGCTTGAGAGGGGAGCATACGGCGGAAGTGGTAAAACCTCCCTAGCGACCCGTGAAGCCTTGTTTGCACCGCTTAACTTGTGAGGAAGCCATTTCCCGCATCAGATCGTCTTTCCAATGGCATTTGACCCAGATGGACATTTGATCCAGAGCATACCGGAGTTCTGGCCTGAGTAGATCATACCGGGGTTCTGGCCTGAGTAGATCATACCGGAGTTTTGGCCTGAGTAGATCATACCGGAGTTCTGGCCTGAGTAGATCATACCGGGGTTCTGGCCTGAGTAGATCATACAGGAGTTCTGGCCTGAGTAGATCATACCGGGGTTCTGGTCATGCTTATGAATGTGGATCAGTCATTCTTACTTCCGTTTTTATACCTTAATGACGGGGGTACGGTAGCTAAGGAAATGACGTCATTAGAGGATTGCAAAATTGCTCAACAAAATTGCTGAAAACAATCCTATTGCTAAAAAGCTTCAAAAATGTTTTTTTCATTTAGGAGCGCTTCGTTCGTCTTCTCGACCAACTGCACAATTCGCTGAAAATCGATTTGGCAATGTATCGGGTGAGTTGGAAAGTTGGAAATTTGGAAAAGCAAGAAATTTGAGAAATTAGATTTGAAATCATTTTTTGAATCATTTGGAATCAATTGAAATCATTTGGAATCTATTTGGAATCATTTGGAATCATTTGAATGAATTTGAATCATTTGGAATCATTTGGAATCATTTGGAATCATTTGGAATCATTTGGAATCATTTGGAATCATTTGAAATGAATTTTTGAATCATTTGGAATCATTTGAAATCAATTGGAATCATTTGGAATCATTTGGAATCATTTGGAATCATTTGGAATCAATTGGAGTCATTTGGAATCATTTGGAATCATTTGGAATCATTTGGAGTCATTTGGAGTCATTTGAAATCATTTGGAATCATTTGAAATCAATTGGAATCATTTGAAATGAATTTTTGAATCATTTGGAATCATTTGAAATCATTTGGAATCAATTGAAATCAATTGAAATCATTTGGAATCATTTGGAATCATTTGGAATCATTTGGAATCATTTGGAATCATTTGAAATGAATTGAAATCATTTGGAATCATTTGGAATCATTTGGAATCATTTGGAATCATTTGAAATGAATTGAAATCAATTGAAATCAATTGAAATCATTTGGAATCATTTGGAATCATTTGGAATCATTTGGAATCATTTGAAATGAATTGAAATCAATTGAAATCAATTGAAATCATTTGGAATCATTTGGAATCATTTGGAATCATTTGGAATCATTTGGAATCAATTGGAGTCATTTGGAATCATTTGGAGTCATTTGGAGTCATTTGAAATCATTTGGAATCATTTGAAATCAATTGGAATCATTTGAAATGAATTTTTGAATCATTTGGAATCATTTGAAATCATTTGGAATCAATTGAAATCAATTGAAATCATTTGGAATCATTTGGAATCATTTGGAATCATTTGGAATCATTTGGAATCATTTGAAATGAATTGAAATCATTTGGAATCAATTGAAATCATTTGGAATCATTTGGAATCATTTGGAATCATTTGGAATCATTTGAAATGAATTGAAATCAATTGAAATCAATTGAAATCATTTGGAATCATTTGGAATCATTTGGAATCATTTGGAATCATTTGAAATGAATTTTTGAATCATTTGGAATCATTCGAAATCAATTGAAATCAATTGAAATCAATTGAAATCATTTGGAATCATTTGGAATCATTTGAAATCAATTTCGATCAATTCATAAACGATCGTTTGGTTTTCTGGAAACAAAATCTTTCGATAATGCATCAAAAATAGAGATTATTTCTTTTCTTTTCCTATTTTCCCCTTTTTTTTTATCCATTCCCTCCCCATTTCCCCAATCAGACGCTCATTCAAAAAAAAGGGATTCGTAAAACTCAAAAAAAGAATCGAAATCTAAATCTAAACCCTCAGCAAAATTTCTGGATTAACTTCTGTTTTTGCATTCGATTTTAATGAGCTTTTAAACTGTAGTTTTCACTTTATAGCTTTATAACTTTATAACTTTATAACTGTATAACTTTATAACCTTATAACTAACATAATTTACTTTATATTGAACTTTATGACTAATCTAAGCGACGAAAATGAAGGAGAGTAAAGATTTTTGGTGTAAACTTTACTCTTTACGGTTTATTTTAAAGTAAATTTCATAAGAGTCTTTACTTTTAACTATTAACATCGAACAGCTATCATTTAAATCATTTGGTCATCACAACTAGTTGAAATTCCCTTGTTTACCACATTGTATTAGCGTAACATAGCGTTAAGTCAACCCTAGCCCTTTTAGTCAAAAAGAAAACTTTTTCCGACTTCAAAAACTAACAATAAGATTTAAAGAAGAGGTTTTTAAATGCTTTGGATTTTATCTACTCGCTTGTTAAGCGATAAGCAATTCCTGGAAAGCAATAATCAATTCCTGGTAAGCAATAATCAATTCCTGGTAAGCAATAATCAATTCCTGGTAAACAATAATCAATTCTTGGTAAGCAATAATCAACTCCTGGTAAGCAATAATCAATTCCTGGTAAACAATAAGCAATTCCTGGTAAGCAACAATCAATTCCTGGTAAGCTACAAGCAATTCCTGGTAAGCAATAATCAACTCCTGGTAAGCAATAATCAACTCCTGGTAAGCAATAATCAATTCCTGGTAAGCAATAATCAATTCCTGTTAAGCAATAATCAATTCTTGGTAAGCAATAATCAATTCCTGGTCCAAGGACAACAAAAAAAACAATTTCCTTGTCAGGCAGGAGACGTCTAGATGCTTTCTTTGTCCAATCTTTGTCCAATCTTTCCCCCATTTTGATGAAGCACTCAATTTTCTTAATAATCACTCAATCTGAGGCTTATTCGATGTCGATTTGTGAGAAATCCCGACTATAAGACGGGGTTTGTTTTTGGGGAAACGGGAAAAAATCGGGGAAATCCCCAATGTGCGCAAATTTGGACGAAGAAAAACGGGAAAAAACGCAGGATTATCAACGCGAAGACCCCGTTTTGATATATTGGAAAAGAAAATGGCTTTTGAGATTTCCCTTTCTCATTTTGAAAACCCCATTCGCTTTAAATAAAGAAAGAAAAACTATCGTAAGCTTGTCTCGATTTTCTATCCAATCTATCTGTCGTAGCCGCTTATGAATTTCAGTCGATCATGATCTAGACGATTATGAATCAGTGGATCTAGACGATAATGAATCAGTGATACCAAACAATTGATGATTGGACGCGTCTAGATCCACTCATTCATAATTGAATCAAAATTAGCGGCACTCCCGTAGCCGATAATGAATCAGTGGATCTAGACGCGTCCAATCATCAATTGTTTGGTATCATTCAACGCCAAATCATTAATAATTATGTTAAATTTTTGAAATTAGAAAGATTGGATAAAAAGAAAGAAAATTAGAGCAAAAACAAAATTTTTGTTCGAAAGAGAACTTTGAAGCTTCATAAATTCTTTTCTTTTTATCTAATCTTTCTAATTTAAAAAATTTAACATAATTATCAGTGATTCTGCGTTGAATGATACCAAACACTTGATGGTTGGACGCTCCTAGACCTAGACCTAGACCTAGACCTAGATCTGGATCTAGACCTTGACCTAGACCTAGACCTTGACCTAGACCTTGACCTAGACCTAGACCTAGACCTGGACCTAGACCTAGACCTAGACCTAGACCTAGGCCTTGACCTAGACCTAGACCTTGACCTAGACCTAGACCTAGACCTAGACCTAGACCTAGACCTGGACCTAGACCTAGACCTAGACCTAGACCTAGACCTTGACCTAGACCTTGACCTAGACCTGGACCAAGACCTTGACCTAGACCTTGACCTAGACCTGGACCTAGACCTAGACCTTGACCTAGACCCGGACCTAGACCTTTGATATCGATTGATGGATTTTAGCGATGTAAGCACAGGTTCAGCTTCATAAATAAAAGAAATAAGTTCACAAAACCCTGTCCTCAGTAAGACTTTCCCCATCTTTTTGTCTATTTTCCAATCTCCCGCTTCTCGAAAGTCGTAATCTCGATTTTGGTGACAATTTTGAGATTAAAATCAATCGCAAATAAACGATGACAACTCTGAAGTCATTAGTTTGACTTAACCACTGATTTCTCACGAAAATTCTCAATTCTCAATCAAAATCATTCAAAATTTCATCTATTTGGATGATTTTATTCAAATTTCAAATATATTTACTTACTAGTTAGCCCATTAATTGGAAAATTTCAAAATTTCATCTAATTTCAATCACAAAAACCTCAATTCTTTCAGAAATCTTTCATTTTAAGGCAATTTTCTATCAAAAATTTCAAGATTCTTTCATTTTAAGCAAATTTTCGATGAAAAATGATCGAATATCGATCTTTTTTAAAGCTTTCGATAATTTTTTATGAGAAACGATTGGATTTTGATCGTTTTTTAAGCTTTAGATTGTAAATTTCGAGAGTTTTTTACTAAATCTAGATATAAAATCATAAAATCAAATCATCGAATCGAATTTTAGAGTAATTTCCCCGCCTCTTCACCGACGAAACTCCAGGATTTGCGGAGCACAGTCGATTTGCTCACGTCGATCACCTTCTTTCGCATGAAAGTGAGTAAATAGTTGAATAAATAGTCGAGCTTGAAATTTCTATAACTTTTTACAGAGACAAGACAGACAAGACAAAAAAAGGCTTGTCGCCTTTTTTGCTTGGCTTTTTAGATACAGGATGGCTAAAAATTGCGATTTATTGCGACAAATCGAAAGGCCATTGTAGAATTGGATTTCATACTACTCTTTCCATCAAAAATATCTTTTCCAGGTACTCGAATTGGCTTCACCGCCGCGCGCCTCGAATGTAGTCAAGGAGTGCGCGAAGGCGTGCATGCAAGTGAGTCAAATGAACAAAAAATACTAAAGCTTAGATAAAAAATCACCTAAGATAGGCAATATGTAGTAAATTCGTTTATAAATTATAATGTAATTGTTAAATGGGGGTTAAGTGAAACCAAATAAAATAAATAAATAGGAACCAAGTAGGAACTAAAAAAAAAACAAATAAAAAAAAAAAAAAATTTTTAATTTTAAAAAACAACAACAAAAACAAAAAAAAAAAAAAAAATTCTCCTTTTCTTTTTTTTTTTTTTTTTTTTTTTTTTTTTTTTTTTTTTTTTTTTTTTTTTCCCCAAAAAATTTTTTTTTCTTTTTTTTTTTTTTTTTTTTTTTTTTTTTTTTTTTTTTTTTTTTTTTTTTTTTTTTTTTTTTTTTTTAATTAAAAATTTTTTTTTTATTTTTTTTTTTTTTTTTTTTTTTTTTTAAATTTTTTTTTTTTTTTTTTTTTTTTTTTTTTTTTTTTTTTTTTTTTTTTTTTTTTTTTTTTTTTAAAAAAAAAAATATAAAAAAAATTTTTTTTTTTTTTTTTTTTTTTTTTTTTTTTTTTTTTTTTTTTTTTTTTTTTTTTTTTTTTTTTTTTTTTTTTAATAAAAAAAAATTTTTATTTTTTTTTTTTTTTTTTTTTCATTTCAAATTTTTTTTTTTTTTTTTTTTTTTTTTTTTTTTTTTTTTTTTTTTTTTTTTTTTTTTTTTTTTTTTTTTTTTTTTTTTTTTTTTTTTTTTTTTTTTTTTTTTTTTTCTTTTTTTTTTTCCTTCCCAAAAAAAAACCCCCTCTTTTTTTCTCCTTTTAAAAAAAAAAAAATTTTTTTTTTTTTTTTTTTTTTTTTTTTTTTTTTTTAAAAAAAAAATATTTTTTTAAAAAAAAAATTAAAAAAAAAAAAAAAAAAAAAAAAAAAAAAAAAAAAAAAATTTTTTTTTTTATTTTTTTTTAAAAAAATTTTCCCCATTTTTTATTTAAGGAAACAATTAAGAATCAAATAGAAACCAAATAGGAACTACATGGAAACAAATAGGAACCAAATAGAAACCAAATAAGAATCAAATAAGAACCAAAGAAGAATCAAATAGGAATCAAATAAGAACCAAAGAAGAATCAAATAAGAACCAAAGAAGAATCAAATAAGAACCAAATAAGAATCAAATAGGAACCAAATAGAAACCAAATAGAAAACAAATACCGTATTTCTTCGAATAGAAGACCGGGTAAAGAGTATGATCGCGTACTCCTGCGTAGCAGCCCTTTTTAAAATTTCTTTTCTGCATAAAAGCTTTCAATGAAGCTATAGAGCTGGAAAATGGCTCAAAAATCTCTTAGCTCATGTGGTATTTTTGAGCCATTTTCCAGCTCTATAGCTTCATTGAAAGCTTTTATGCAGAAAAGAAATTTTAAAAAGGGCTGCTACGCAGGAGTACGCGATCATACTCTTTACCCGGTCTTCTATTCGAAGAAATACGGTAAGAACCAAATAAGAACCAAATAAGAACCAAATAGGAACCAAATAAGAATCAAATAAGAATCAAATAGGAATCAAATAGGAATCAAATAGGAACCAAATAAGAACCAAATAGGAATCAAATAAGAACCAAATAAGAACCAAATAGAAACCAAATAGAAACCAAATAAGAATCAAATAGGAATCAAATAGGAACTACATGGAACCAAATAGAAACCAAATAGGTACGGGAAAAATTAATGTCGTATTTTTTCACTAAAGTTCCAACGTTCATAAAATTTTTATTTCAAAAGCAATTTAATCAAAGCAAAAACCAGTAGAATCTATACATGATTGCCAACGTTTGGCTAACTTTTCAATTCCTAAAGTGTAGAACGCGGACCCCATTGAATCGATAAACTCCTTGATGCCATTTTCGATCTCCCCTTGAGTAGCAAAGCATTTCTCCGATAAGAAGTGATCGAGGAACTTGAAAAAGTGGAAATCTGTAGGCGACAAATTAGGAGAATATGGAGCATGAGGGGCGACTTCAATGTGCAGCTCGTTCAATTTTTGAAGAGTCTTTAGTGAACAATGCGGGCGGGCGTTGTGTTGCAATAGGATGGGACTCTTCCAAAATAAGAAAGAAACCAAATAAGAACCAAATAGGAACTACATGGAAACAAATAGGAACCAAATATGAACTACATGGAAAATAGAAACCAAGCTCACTCTTGAGCTTTGAGCTTTGAGCACAAGGGAAACTGAAACCACAAAAAGCCGTGCTGAAACAAATCTGTGATATGAAAAAAGCAATTGATAGCAAGCAAAATGTACTTTGTGTTCAAATTTGTAAACAAAACCCTTCTGGCTTACTTGATTCTTCATTTTTCTCGTGAAACCAAAGCGTTGCTGTGAGAAAAGCGAGGGATTAGCGCCAGAAGGGATACGTTTACAGATTTGAGCAGCTTTTTCAGCTGTCAGCCAAAAAGCCAGCTTTTTTTATGAGATATCAGGTCAAATTTTCTTGCAAAGTCTCATCCTAGAATAACTAACTATTTAACTAACTATTTAAGATGTTAAGGGGGCCCAGAAAGGGAAGGGTCTGTGGTCGACCCCGTCCGATCTGCCAAGTTGAGCAGCGTCGGCGCGGGTTAGTCGTGGGTTCGACTCCCATGGGTTCCCCTCCGAGCGCCCCAGCCCGGCCATCGGAGTATCATCGGCTACGACAACTACACTTCTGCCTCAGTAAATATGGAAGCGGGTTGTGATCTGCGCTAAGTGCGAAGACAGATCAAATCATTATTTATTTATTTATTATTTAAGATGTTAAACTATTTTCAAGATGTTAAATCTTCTTTTCCATTTCAAATCCCCTTTTTCAGGCCACCTACCAGATGCTTTTCGAGCGCTGCTGTGAGAGTGGTGGGCCATCAGTGGACTCAGTGCAATTCTGGTATTATTTCATCGACGAGTTGATGCGAACGATTGAAGAAGATCAACAGGATTATACACCCGCGTTGAATCAATTCCCGCAGGTTTGAAAACAAAAAATAAAGTGCTCAACGATGCTCAACAAAGTGCTCAAAAGAACCCTACAGCCCACGTAGGCTCGGTTTTTCTTTATCAGCTACAAATTTTACCTGTAAAGCCACAGATCTACTATATATAAAAGAGAAGTGTCTGCCTGTTTGTACAGGCATTTTCTCGGCCATTTTTTGACTAATAAAGCTAAAAATTCTTTAAAAAACTTTAGAATATATCGTAGTTTTGCCATTTTGAAAAAAATCTTAAAGATCAAAGTTGGGTGAACCACCCGGGAATCGAACCCGGACCCTGTGGGTTGTAGCCAAGGGCACTGCCGACTGCGCCATAGTCACCAGAGGAAGCTGAGAAAATCTAGCCAGGTAAAAACATCTAGGCTGGTTTTTCTAGCTGAATGTCGCGTGGCGCCTTGGGCTTGTCATTGATAAAACCTTTTCTTTTGCCTGCTCTTCCCATCGGTCTCGTGGTGTAGTGGTTATCACATCTGTCTAACACACAGAAGGTCGGCGGTTCGATCCCGCCCGAGATCATTTTCGTTTTTTCTTGAAAAATTTCACCAACCAAAGCTACACAAAATTTCACTAGACACTTTAAAAGCACTTTAAAGCACTTTTGAGCGCTTTAAAATACTATTCTAGCCGTGACACGGCTACACAAAGACAAAATCAATAATTATATACCTCCTAGACATGGGAATTTCCACAAAAACTAAAATTCCGACCCGAACCTAATTCCACCTTCGTTTTCTTCGCCGCTTCTTGGCAGATTGCTCTGAAATTTTGTCTACAGATACAAATCGACATTTCCAGCTTGTAGACAAAATTTCAGAGCAATCGGCCAAGAAACGACCGAGAAAACGAAGATGGTATTAGGTTTAGGTTGGAATTTTCCCGTGTCTATTACCTAGCAGGTAGATTAGGTGTCAAAAGCTTTACGATAGCTATATTAGCTCTATTGAAGCTCTATTAGTTCTATTGAAGCTATATTAGCTCCATTGAAGCTCTATTGAAGCTATATTAGCGTTATTGAAGCTATATTAGCTTTATTGAAGCTAGATTAGCTCTATTGATGCTATATTGAAGCTATATCAGCTCCATTGAAGCTATATTGAAGCTATATTAGCTTTATTGAAGCTATATTAGCTCTATTGAAGCTCTATTGAAGCTCTATTAGCTCTGGCTCTATTGAAGCTCTATTAGCCTTCAAACTACTAGCCTAAACTCTCAATAATGACTACCATTCCTTTACGAGGCTAAAAAAGTCATTCAGTGACTGAATAGTACAGGCTGTATGATTCAAAAACTCTTAGCTTGCTCAACAAAAACTTATTTCCAGGAGCTCAACGTTGGTCAATTATCCGCGGCAACGCTGTGGTACTCGTACAAGATGGATCTCCAGATTGCATTGGAAGGTGAAAAGATCAAAATCTATAGTGTAAATGAAATGCCAATATTTCTAGAACACGCCGAAAAGAAGAAATGTCAGACGCGAGAATACATGAATTTGTACTTCAAAGTGAAAGGGTTCTACTTCAAGTACATCGCCGATTTGCCCCAATATAAACAGTCGATTCCCGAGTTCCCAGCGTGAGTTTTTAATGATAATAATGTAATCAATGCTCAGAGTGGACAAAGTGATTTAAAAGTTGATTTAAAAGTTCAACAACTTTTTACTAAAACTACTAAACTTCATTTTAAAAAAAACTGAGGAAAGCTATTCAATTAAACTTTTTTTAAATGACAATTCAATGAAAATCTTAATAAAATTATATTTCAAATAAATAATAAGTCTATAGCTAAATTAATCAACTTTTTTGATCTAATACGGCTCCAATACGGTTCCAATAAGGTTTTTTTAAATTAGCTTTAAAGCTAATAGCTTTCCTCTTGTTTTAAAGCTAATAACTTTCCTAAAAGCTAAATTTCTTCTTTGAGCCGCTACCCAAATTAATCAACTTTTAATGTTTATACAGGCTCAGGCTTAGGCTTAGGCTTCACTCAGGCTCAGGCTCAGGCTTAGGCTCAGGCTTAGGCTTAGGCTTAGGCTTAGGCTTAGGCTTAGGCTTAGGCTTAGGCTTAGGCTTAGGCTTGGCTCAGGCTCAGGCTTAGGCTTAGGCTTAGGCTTAGGCTCAGGCCAGGCTTAGGCTCAGGCTTAGGCTTAGGCTCAGGCTTAGGCTTAGGCTCAGGCTTAGGCTTAGGCTTAGGCTTAGGCTTAGGCTCAGGCTTAGGCTTAGGCTTAGGCTTAGCTCAGGCTCAGGACTAGAAAATTGAAAAGAAAAGTCGATTTTGGCATAAAGTAAAATGATTCAACACTTCTTAAAATATCAATATTTTTAAAAAGAAAACCCCAGCCGGGTTTTCTTTAAATAGAAAACCCGGATTACCTTTTCCGAAATTAGAAACTCACTCTTTTGAGTAAAAGAGAGCTGAGTAAAAGAGATTTGTAGTCGACAAAAGAATTCATTTGTGCTACTGAAAAGGGGAAAATCCGCTGATTTCCGAGATTTCCGGGATTTCCGGGATTTCTCTATTTGCTTTTTCAAATCTTTTTTTTCTATTCTATTTCAATTTTCCATTCTTCTCTATTTCTTAACATTTTTTCGATCTTTTACCCATTTTTTTGCTCTTTCTTATTCACCGGATGTTGCCGGGAATGGGCTTTCTCCGGTCTCTTTTTGGTTCAAAAGCTCTTCTGAAAATGAAAGAAAAAGCTTTCGATAACTAGAATTTATCTAAATTTAGCTAGATTTTTCTAAATTGATCTAGATTTATCTGTATTTATGTAGATTTATCTTAATTTATCTAAATTGATCTAGATTTACCTAGATTTATCTAGATTTATCTAAATTTATTTAAATTGTCTAAACACATCTAAATTGCTAAATGACGCCTTTTCTAGATTTATCTAGATTTATCTAAATTTATTTAAATTGATCTAAATTGATCTAAATTGATCTAAATTGATCTTAATCTAAATTGATCTAAATTGATCTAGATTTATCTTAATTTATCTAGATTTATCTAGATTTATCTAAATTGATCTTAATTTATCTTAATTTATCTTAATTTCTCCAAATTTCTCCTCTTTTTTGGCCTTTTTGGCCTTTACTCTCTGAAGACTTTAAACCAAAGAAACCTTGATTTTTAGTTTCTTTTTTCCACCTTATCCTTTTAGAAATCATTTCATAGCGCTTTTTTTGACTAACTATAAAAATTCTGAACATATCTTTATTCATATAAACACTTGAAAGCTTAAAACCCGTTAAAACCCATTAAAACCCGTTAAAACCCGCTAAAACCCGTTAAAACCGGTTAAAACCCGTTAGAACCCGTTAAAACCCATTAAAACCCATTAAACCCCGTTAAAACCCGTTAAAACCCGTTAAAACCCGTTAAAACCCGTTAAAACCCATTAAAACCCATTAAAACCCGTTAAAACCCGTTAAAACCCGTTAAAACCCGTTAAAACCCGTTAAAATCCGTTAAAACCCGTTAAAACCCGTTAAAATCCGTTAAAATCCGTTAAAATCCGTTAAAATCCGTTAAAACCCGTTAAAACCCATTAAAACCCATTAAAACCCGTTAAAACCCGTTAAAACCCGTTAAAACCCGTTAAAACCCGTTAAAACCCGTTAAAACCCGTTAAAACCCGTTAAAACCCGTTAAAACCCGTTAAAACCCGTTAAAACCCGTTAAAATCTACTCTTTTACGAAAGCTTTAAGTTGGTTCATCCCGTTTGTGATGGATTGGTTGAATGAGAACGATGAGCACTCGATGGACATCCTCCGAAATGCCTATAATATGTAAGTTTAAGATAAAGTTTGAAATATCGAATATATTTGAAATATATTGGATAAATGTAAAAATCGTTTCCAGGGACAAGAAAGATCAATTCCCACAAACGTCTGAGCACACGAAATTCTCGAATTCGGTCGTCGACGTGTTCTCACAGCTCAACGAGGCGTTGAAGCTCTTGAAACAGGTGATTTGGTTTATAATTAGCCTTCCATGTGATTTGGTTTATAATTAGCCTTCGGATTTTTTGGAAGAGATTAGGTTAGAAGCTAGCCAGAGCCTAGTTTTCTACTAACCGGATCTGGTCGGACCTAAAAGGATCTAAGATCTGGCCTCTATCTAAGGAAAGTGCCTCTAAGGAGTATCTAAGGAATAGCTATAAGTGCCAGTCTAGTGTCTGATCTAGCTTGATCTGGAGTAGGGTCTGATTTGGTCTAGTCAGGTCGTTGATCTAGTCAAGCCGTTGGTCTAGTCAGGCTGTTGATCTAGTCAGGCCATTGATCTAGTCAGGCTATTGATCTAGTCAGGCCGTTGATCTAGTCAGGCTGTTGATCTAGTCAGGCCATTGATCTAGTCAGGCTATTGATCTAGTCAGGTCGTTGATCTAGTCAAGCCGCTGATCTAGTCAGGCTGTTGATCTAGTCAGGCCATTGATCTAGTCAGGCCATTGATCTAGTCAAGCCGTTGATCTAGTCAGGCTGTTGCTCCGTTCCCGGAACTTCCGGCGGGAAATTCGCTGACCGAGTATTCCGGCGGAGCGAAATTTTCCCCTACAAAGTTTCCTGCAGAGACGAAAGATTCCATAAAGGATTGAGGAAACATTTCTGTATACACAGTTTAAATAAATACACAATTTAAATAAAAATCCTCTAAGATATAGTAATATAATAGTTGCAAATTTCCAGATGGACTGCCCGAACCCGGAGGTCTACTCAGAAATGATGCGACGCTTCTCGAAAACCCTCAACAAGGTACAGTAATCTACCATAATCTACAGTAATCAAGCTAATAGATAATAGAGAGATAGCTTTTCTAATAGACAATAGAAAGCTAATATTTCTTATATCCAAAATTCCAGGTGCTATTAGCGTATGCGGATATGGTGCAAAAGGATTTCTCGCAATTCACGCAAAACGAGAAGTTGGCCTGCATTTTGATGAACAACGTGCAACAGCTTAGGTATGCAAATTTAACAATTGATAAGTTTAGATAGAAATTAGATCTAGATAAATTCTACATTTCTAGAAATATTTATGCAAATTTTTCAGGGTTCAACTCGAGAAAATCTATGAAAACATGGGCGGGAATGAGCTCGACTCGGAGGCCAGCCAGGTTCGATATTTAGATTAGCTATCCGGATTTGAATCTGGACTTGAACTCATTTTGCTTGGACATGATAGGGTTCATCGGGTGATGTGATGCTAAATTTACGTCAATGAGAAAAGATAACAGTGTTTGGTGAACTTTGTACATTTCTATTCATTTTTAATCACTCACTATCGGATCTAGATCTGGACTAGAGCCTGGATCTAGATCTGGACTAGAACTTGGATCTAGATCTGGACTAGCGCCTGGATCTAGTTCTGGACTAGAGCCTGGATCTAGATCTGGACGAAAGCCTGGATCTAGATCTGGACTAGAGTCTGGATCTAGATCTGGACTAGAGTCTGGATCTAGATCTGGACTAGAGCCTGAGTCTAGATCTGAGCTTGAACCTGGATCTAGGTCTAGACTAGAGTCTGGATCTAGATCTGGACTAGAGCCTGGATCTAGATCTGGACGAAAGCCTGGATCTAGATCCGGACCAGAGCCTGGATCTAGATCTGGACTTGAACCTGGATCTAGATCTGGACTTGAACCTGGATCTAGATCGGATCTTGAACTTGGCTCTAGATCTGAACTTGGACTACTTGCTGAACATACCCCTAAACCCTGATTCGGATATCCATTAAAATACAATATCCACAAAATATAGATATTATCTATTATCCTCAAATTTTAGGTGCTAACAAACTTGCAAAAGAAGCTGAACACCGTATTGGACAAGCTGAGTCGACAGGTTGGTTTGGGAAAATTTGTGCTATGAATAAAATATTCAATTGGATATAATAGATAGCTTAATAGATGAATATAACAGTTATTCAACTAATACAAGATATTTAGTTCGCTGTCTCACTTGAGCGCGGAATTGAGGAGCAGATGAACGAGTTGAGCACTCGTTTATCCAAAGTCAAAGGCCCACAACAGCAGAAAACCCAAGTGCAACAGGTAGGCAAAGCAAGAAATAAGCTAATTTGTCAGTATAAAAGATATCTGACTATAAAAACATATCTGACTCATCAATTACAGGAAGTGGACATGGTTTTGGAACCATTGATGGATATGATGGAAGGCTCTTTACAAAGATATGCTCAGGGTTGCGAGAAGACTGTGCTCAAATATTTGCTAAAGGTTTGAATAGAGCTTGACAAGCAAAAAACGTTGATCGATCGATCGAAATCATGATCGATCGATCATCAGATGAGGTCGTAACTTGTTCTTAGATTTGAGGCTATAAAATCTTATATCTAATTGATGAAAATTTGCTCTTATCGTTGAATAATGAATCTTTTAGTCTATGTTAATCTTAAAGCTTAAAGATATTCAGTTATTCGAGTTGTTTTTGATTAATGAAGATTGATTTTTCATGTTCTTACTGTTCTTACTGTTCTTACTGTTCTTCTTATTGTTCTTACTGTTCTTACAAGGTCTAAAAACAGGGCGAAAGTGCAGTAAAGCATTCGTCAATTCTTTTTCAATAAAAATGATAGTTTAATTTAATCTCCAGCATAAAATACTGTATCTAATCAAATCAAATCAAATCTAATCAAATCAAATCTATATCAAAAACATTTTAAGATTGAAATTTTTCAGGAACTCTGGCGAATGACCATCCAAGGAATGGAGCGAATCGTCGTTTTGCCTCCATTGGCTGACAAAGCTGCGGTAAGGTTTTTGTGATTTTAGATTCCTTTTCGGCACAGATTTGGTTCCTTTTCGGTACAGATTTGATTCCTTTTCTCTACAGATTTGGCTAGGCTAAGTAAACTAGACCTGTAACCTAGGCCAGGTAAACTAGACTTGTAAACTAGGCCAGGTAAACTAGGCCAGGTAAACTAGACCTGTAACCTAGGCCAGATAAACTAGGCCTGTAAACTAGGCTCTACAGATTTGATTCCTTTTCGGTACAGATTTGGTTCCTTTTCGGTACAGACTTTGTTCCTTTCTCTACAGATTTGATTCCTTTTCTCTGCAGATAATGAATGAAAAATTAGATAATGAAAAACCAAAAAAAATCAAGAAATCAAATGTATTTAGCTTAAATAGCTTATTATTCAAAAGCTTATTCAAAAATTGTATCTAAAATCAATTCCAGATCCTTCGCCAATTGCCAAACGCAAAAATCGGCGGCGCGATGAAGTTAGCGTCAAATTTGAAAGATATGAAGAACATGAATTCAGTGAAAGAGATGATGGTTTGTCATTTGAAAATAGATTATAAGATAGGTGTTTTAAAATAGAGCTTTTAAAATAGATGTTTTAATGATAATTGTTTTACGTTGTACTTTTAGGACTTGGCGAGAGACTCGGAGCGAGCGTTGAGCCCGAAACAGTGCACTGTGTTGGACGCGGCTTTGGATATGATAAAGGTTCGTTTTCGTTTTCGATTCTTTTTAGAAATAGAGCTTGAACTAGATTTGAAAAAAATATAATCAAATCCAAAAATAAATTTAGGAATCTTTTCACGCTGGTGGGATGGGCTTGAAGAAATCGTTCTTCGAGAAAAGTCCAGAGTTGCAATCGCTGAAATATGCGCTCTCGTTGTACACACAGACGACGGAACAACTCATCAAAACTTTCATCCGATCACAGACGAATCAAGGTAAGTAAGAAGAAAATAAGTGAGGCAGTGATTAGAAAAGCGTAAGGCTTAGGCTCTTCAGTCAATCTTCAATTGACAAGATTCTACAGGCTGTTCAATATTTATTGAGACCAGTAGATTACTAGATTTAGAGCTTATTTTGTACAAGTTTAATGTGAAAAAGAAAACACACTTATCAATACGCTCAACGTTAACAACTTTAAATTACTTTTTTCAAAAGCTTTGCTGTTGCTTCCTGTCGTTGCTGTCCACTTGTTGCTTTCCTAGAAACACCTGTGGAAAGCGGCTACTGAATAAATTGAATTTGTCACAAACTCTCGTTAAGCTTAAGAACCATAACTAAAATCCATAACTAAAATGAAGAAGAACCATAACTAAAATCTGATTCTAACATTTTAATGTCTCGTAGCTTCTAAAACTGTTAAATAGTGAAGACTTTCTCATCGTTAAACAAGAACAACTGAGCTCTCATTCCCGTTGGTGAAATTTAGTGATCGAGTTTCGATGAATTGATTTTTGAAATATCAAAAATAGTCTACAAAGTCGAGTTTTTTCCAACTCTTTTGCAGTGCTTTGTTATTTTTTTTATAAATCAACCAAGCACTAAAGATCTGCGAGCTTAAAAGTCCCCATAAATACTGAACACTTTGTAATCTTTCTGAAGATTACAAGTTCTGCTGAAGCTAAAGCCAGAGATGTTCTGTGACCAAGAGCAAGCCAGTTAGAACATGATCAAAAGTCAGAGCCCGTATGCTACGCTTTGGGAAAAGTTCTGGCGATGTCTCTGATCTTTACGGCGGCACCTTTGATCTTTCCAGGAAAGCGTCCATGGTTTTCCCGCGAACTTTTCCTTAGAAAGTTCCTCGAAAAGTTTTGGCCGAAAGTTTTACCGAAAAACTTTCTGAGTACGAAAGTACGCTCCGCGTGATAACCATGAACGTTTTACCGGAAAGTTCAAAGGTGCAGAGATCAGAGATCAGAGAAACAGACTGTTGTTTCAGACCGAAACTTTTCCCGGAGCGTAGGATACAGGCTCAAGTCTGAGCTAGGGCTAAGACCTGTCCTGGTAAAGAAAGGCAAGGTCCGAACGCAGGCCAGGACCTGGCCCTACTTTGCCTGCAGGTTTTTAAAAAAAGTATTTTTTCAGCCCTAGACAAAAGGCTTCTGGCAAGCTTCTGGCAAGCTTCTGACAAGCTAATTCAAGCAAATTCCAAAGCCAGGCCTGGCCTGAACTGAGCCGGGGAAATTGTTTTGAAATTTTGAAAGTATTGTATTGAAACAACCCCTAGCTAAAGATATTTCGCTTTTATTCATGAATATTCTTTATTTCAAGATACTAAATAGAAATCTTTACATATTACATTATTTTTTCTTCTTCTCGAATTGTATCTTTTCCAGATCAACCCTCCCAAGAGCAACCGGTCGGCGAGATCTCGGTGACTGTCGATCTCTTCAGTCATCCAGCAACTGGAGAACAAAAGCTCACGATAAAGAGTTCGTTTTGAAAATAGTGCATTGAAAATAGTGCATTGAAAATAGTGCAATTTATTATGCTAATTTGCATTTATTATGCTAATTTGCATTTAATAAGTATAATAATTTCTTAATAAACTTCTTAACAAACTTCTTAATAAAGAAACTTAGAACATTTTAAATCTAAAAATTTCAGTCTATGCCGCGAACGATCTCCGCTGGCAGACCACCTCCGTCTTCAAGCCGTTTGTTGAAGTGCATTTGGTGAGTGAGCTGGATAAGAATATCTAAAAATATCTAAAAATAACTAATAAATAAATAAATAACTAATAAATAACTAATATCTAGAAATAATCAACCTTTAGATAGAAACTAGATGTGCAGTGTGTGAGAGAATACCGATTGGGACGATGATTATTGGATATTTATTCTGAATCTAGCACAATACTAATCTAGCGAGAAAATACAATAAAATCGAATCAATCGTTGGTTCAGTGTTTCATAGCAATACGAAAAGGCAATACGAAAGGAATATACGGAAAGAATATGAAAGGGATAATATAAAGCTGGCTCCGTCCCTTTTATCCGTCCCTTTATCATAAAAGCAATCTTTTAGAGGCGGGACAAGAAGATCAGACATTCAAATCAAAACATTAAATAAGATTTCACAGAAAAGAGCCACTTTTCTGCACACTAGATTATTAATCTGTATCAAACTCCAGGTTGGACCCCATTTGGCCGACAAGAAGCGTCGTGTGGCCACGAAATCCCGACAGGGTGAATGGGCACCCAAATTCAACGAGACTTTCCATTTGTGAGTGTTTAAAATTGGCATTTAGACTTGAAGTATACTGTGAAAGTGGGAGGGATTACTGTAGGTTTATAAAAACAGCTTTAAAGCAGTTCTCAAGTACAGTTCTCAAGTACAGTACTCAAAGCAGAGTTGAGCAAAGCAAACGTTTCAAATTGGCTTCCAGGATTACTGTAGACTTTTCTACTTTTTTCTACAGTACAATAGAAAGACAGTAATTAAAGCTACAGTACATAAATAGCACTCGATGTACACTGTAAAGTGCTGAAAGTACTGGAAGATTACGGTAGATTTTTACAGAATAAATGACGCCAGGGTGAGCTCTTACAGAATCTCAGAATCTCTTCAACTTACCTGACTAAAGAGCATCGCCAGGCGCCCATGACTTTTCCGCTCATGACTTTTCCTTTTCCTTTTCCATGACCGTTGCACGTTTTCTGACTCCGAATCTGACCCAAATTACATTAGAACAGTAAGGTAAATTGGTAGTAAGGAACAGTAAGGTAAATCCAAAGCCGTAGTCTGCGGACTACAGCCCTCAAGGGCCGTAATCTGCGGCTTTGGCGATGTTGGCTAGTTAACTTCGTTGTGAAAAGTGAACTCAAATAAGGAGGCCTAAAAACCTAAAAGTCTAAAAGTCTAAAAGTCTAAGCCTAAAAGTCTAAAAGTCTAAAAGCCTAAAAGCCTAAAATATCTCAGCAGCCCTCAAGGGCAAAAACTGAATTCGAATTTGGATTCGGAATCAGCCTAGTCGATTCTATAAGATGGAATTGGTCACGTTTTAAAAAGTCACGAGCGCCTGGCGACGTTTCCTAAGTCGACGCTCCCTAGTGAGTCGCAAAGTCTTACTGTAAATTCTGATTTCAGATTCTTGGGCAACGAGGGTGAGCCGGAGCACTACGAGTTGATGTTCCAAGTGAAAGACTACTGTTTGATGCGAGAGGATCGAATTGTTGGTGTGGGAGTGCTGCAGTTGGCGCAAGTCGTCGAAGCTGGTGAGTCTAGGCAGTGGATACATCGAAAAAATAAGACAATAAGACAAGTGATTGAGAAGAGGGTCCGCTTAGGAGTGCTTTGGTCGCACAGTTACAGGGCACAGTTACAGGGTACGTGACAGGGCAGCAGGGCAGTTACAGGGCAGTTACAGGGTACAGCTACAGGGCACAGCTACAGGGTACAGCTACAGGGCACAGTTACAGGGCACAGTTACAGGGTACAGTTGCAGGGCACAGTTACAAGGTACAGTTACAGGGCACAAATGGCTTTTTGAGGCTCAAATGTATAAACCCATCACTTCACAATTATTTCCTCAGGGGCGCTTTGGTCTATTGAAGTGATGGGTTTATACATTTGAGCCTAAAAAGCCATTTGAGCCTAAAAAACAAGATAAAGCATAACTTCATTTGGATTATACAAATAAACACAACAAATCGTTTTTAAATGCAAGCCGAATACGAAAATTGACTAATTTTTATCTAATGGTCTATTGATCTATTGGAATCTATTTATTTATCTATCTATAGTAATTTCTAGTTTTTAAATGTTTGAGCTTTATAAACAGCTCAATTATGAGCTTTATAAACATTAAAATTTATAAAATAATAACTTTATAAAGATTTAAAAACTAATCCAACTTAATTTATGAAGAATTTCTAAAAAAAGAACAAAAAAAAGGAAAGAAAAATGGGCTATTGGGGACCTCAAGAGGCACTTTTTCGCCCCTCCCTCTAGATGCTCTTTGGCCGAGTGGTTAGCGGTCTGACCAACGAGGCGGTCTCGCCCGAGTTCAATCCCGCTCTTTGCAGGTGGATCGCTCAATCAATGGGTTCAATTGGGAACTCGACTGCACATTGATGAGACTGGATTGATTCTGTTGAGGATTTTGAGTCAACGCCAGAATGATGAGGTTTGGGTGTGGCTGTGATGCATAAATGAATTTACTGATCATTGTTGAATGAAAAGATTCCCCGGCTGAGCCATGTTTTTTGTGGTTTTTGTCGGGGAAAGCTGGATTGGATGGAATTGGATGGAAGGATGGAATAGGTTACCTAAAGTTTCTTAGGCTTTACAGCACAAAGCTCAACTTTGTAAACGTCTCCTTTCTAATGCACTGAATTCCTCGGTTTTCTTGCGAAATGCGAGAAAAAACTGAAATCTCGAATTTTTCTCGCATTTCGCAAGAAAACTGAAGAATTCAGTGCACTAGAAAGATTGTGTTTACAATTTTTTGAGCACAAAGTACACTAGAAAGAATGTACTTTATTCTACACATTTCCAGATGGCCAAAGAGTTCGTGAAGTTGAAATCGGAGTGTCGCTACGAGACCGAAGGCACGCTACAAGCTTCGGTCAGCTCACACAAGCTCACATAAAACATTTCCGATCATTTCCGATCATTTCCGATCATTTCCGATCGAGTTTCTTTTTATTCTTTGTGCGTGTGCTTTGTGCTCGTGGGAAACACGCACATCTGGTGCATTGAATTCGTCATTTTTCTTTACTACAAGGGAAATGAAAATTTCAGTGCACTAGAAAGAGTGTTTTTACAAATTTCGAGCTGAAAGTACACAAAATAATAAAAGAAAAATGATTCTTATCAACTATTTCTTGACTTTTTCTTGACTTTCTTTGATTTTCATTCTTTTTTTCTAATATAATTTAAGCTTATACTTATCAAATAACCTAAAAAACGGGTGTTTTTTTTCGTAGTTTTCAATTTAAAACGTAAACTTTGAGCATCTGGTGCAGTTGGGGAGGCGATAATTAGATAAATTGGTGCTACCGTAATCCCAAAATAAGACTCGGGCTATGGTAAGCCTACTGTAGCCCTATAGAACTTAGCCCTATAGAACTGGGATTACTGTAGTGGACTGGGATTATGGCATTGACAGCCATAGTCCTAAGGACAGCTATAGTCAACTAAGGACAGCCATAGTCCATAGGGCTACAGCATTATTACCGTAGCCCCAGTCCACTACCGTAATCCCAGTCCACTATCGTAACCTCAGTTCACTACCTTAGCCTCAGTCCACTACCGTGATCCCAGTCCACTACCGTAATCCCAGTCCACTACCGTGATCCCAGTCCACTACCTTAGCCCCAGTCCACTACCGTAATCCCAGTCCACTACCGTGATCCCAGTCCACTACCGTAATCCCAGTCCACTACCGTAATCCCAGTAATCACTTAGCTGCTTACTACTGTAATCTCGAGAATTAGGCTGGACTACGATAGATCTTACGGCTAGCTAAATAGTTGAATAAAACCCCAGAATAGGGAGTACGGTTGATCTGCGTATTCGGCTACGTACGGCTCGAGGCTGGCGTACTTATGGCTGGACTACGGTAGATCTAGCTAAATAGTAAGAAGACTAGGGTTATAGTAGCCCTTGCTTGAATAACTAAATATTAATTGTCAATATTAACTAAATATTAATGTTAACTATCGTACTCTAAAACTTGGACTACGTCGGGCTACGGTAGATCTGAATAAAGACTGAAGCCCCCAGCTGAACGAACTGCTGTAACCTGGGATATACTGGAAATACGGTAGCCGTTACTATTAGCTGAATACTACCGTAAGCCTAACAAAAGCCTAGGGTTACGGTAGCTCTAGGATAATTGGGATTACGGTAGCCCTGGGATAGCTGGGTTCCGGTAGTCCTGAGATAACAGGGTTACGGTAGCTCTAGGATAACCGGGACTACGGTAGCCCTGGGAAAGCTGAGCTACGGTAGTCCTGACATAATTGGGATTACGGTAGTCCTGGGATAGCTGGGTTACGGTAGTCTTGAGGTAATTGGGGTTACGGTAGTCCTGGGATAACAGGGTTACGGTAGTCCTGAGGTAATTGGGGTTACGGTAGTCCTGGGATAACAGGGTTACGGTAATCCTGAGATAATTGGGGGTACGGTAGTCCTGGGATAGCTGGGTTACGGTAGTCCTGAGGTAACTGGGGTTACGGTAGTCCTGGGATAACAGGGTTACGGTAGTCCTGAGGTAATTGGGGTTACGGTAGTCCTGGGATAACCGGGTTACGGTAGTCCTGAGATAATTGGGGGTACGGTAGTCCTGGGATAGCTGGCTTACGGTAGTCCTGAGATAATTGGGATTACGGTAGCCTGGGTACTCAAGTTTAACTGAATACTACCGTAACCCTAACACAAGGTTACGATAGTCCTTAGCTGCTTACTTAACTGTTTGCTATTGTAACCTCAGCATAAGACCTTACGTTCGGCTTACGGTAGCCCTGGGATAATTGCCTCCCATGCACCAAATGGATACCGTTTACGTGAAGTTTCCCATTCCAACACTTACCACATAAACAATTATAACCGAATAGCTTTTTAGATTTCCAAAAAACGATCATAATGTTTAATATAATGTTTGTTTTTTTTAATATTTTTTGATACATTCTTCACCGGTCCTCGATTTCACTCTAAACTCTCTCCTTTGCTTCAACTTATTCGACCAAAACAAAATCCCTAATTGACCACATTTTTTTTGGAATTTTCACCGATTCTCAAATGAATATTTTTCCAATTTTTTCAAATTTTCCAATTTTTCTTAATTTTTCATAAATTTTGATAAACTTCTATTTGCTTTTCGCCTTTCGTTAGAAGAAATTTGTGTTTTATCTTTCTTTTGTACTTTTTGTACGGTAACTTTCGACTTTTCCCCACCCCCCGTTTCAGTCAGTGCCTTTGTTCAGCTAATAAAAGTTTTATCTCTCACACCCCTCACACGTAATTTCATAAATTTCTTCCATACCAACAAAAGAGTCTTCAATGCTGTTCTTTTCTTGCGGCAAAGCTCTCAAAAAGAAGCTTTTCGAAATGTGGATCTCGATGATGTGGCATGTGAAGAATTCAAGAAATATTTAGGTCCGAGGGGAACTAGAGTTCGAGGGGAACTAGAGTTCGAGGGGAACTAGAGTTCGAGGGGAACTAGAGTCCGAGGAAACTAGAGTCCGATAACCCCGATAATGGGCACTTTCCACTAATCATTTTCGACTTTCGGCCAGTCGATCGACGAATTCCCGTAGTTTCTTCCAAAACAATTTGAATTTAACTTTCTAAAAACATATTTTGCTCAGTTCTGCCTGTGTCCAACACCTTTGCCTCATCTCTAACTGTGTTCGTCAATCTTTTACGTAAACTTTTATTCAATGCATCAACTTTCTGTGGATTCCGTGAAGTCTCACAAGTTATCCGTCTCTTCGATGAGCTGTAAATGCGAAGAAGCTATTAAATAAAGGAATTTTGACTATCAAAGACTTATCAGATATCAGATACCTTTATCAGATAGCCTTTTTCCACCGGGAAACGTTTCAAAATTGTCTGGCTCGATGCGTGGCTGATCAGCAACGACGGGATTTTCACCTCAAATATGTTTTCGATTGTGAACATTGTGAACATTGTGAAGGGTTGATAGAGAGATCATTGTGAATGCTTGTACAAGCCAAATCAGCCGATCCACCACTGCCCATCATCATCGGCGCTTCACCCTCGTTGTTTGCAACAATCATTGCCATGAAGCCGGCTTTCTATTGTTTTTTGTTTGCTATAGTAAGACTGGGATTCGATTAATGCGTAATCAAGAGTTGCAGGGTCGTCTTTTGACATAAAAACACTTGGTTTTATAGGTTGTAACAATGCTAAGAAGCTATGTAACAATGCTAAGAGCGTCTAACGCTATTACGGGCTACCTGAGAGTGCCACGTCTTTTGCGAGAAGCAACAGTCACCGCGTTGGACTAGAGCAAAGTTGGTGGCACAATCACTCGAGTTTGTTGTTGGCACCTTGAACAAAAACTATTGTTGAAATGTTCGATAAGGCTCGAGAGAAACTAGGGTACAACCTTTCAGCCTTTTTTCTGATCCTGTTAATGATCCTGTTAATGTTGAACGACTCAGCGACGTATTACAAGGTGAGTGAAAATTATTGGTCACCTCTATAATTCTTGGTCGCTTCTAAGCCTTGTAATTTTTTTTGAAAACGTCCATGAAGATAAATTTCATTGTAAAACAATGAAAATAATTCAGAAAAACAAAAAAAAAGTTAATAAAACTCGGTTTGAACTTCTTTTGCTCGGAAGATTACTTGGAAAACTCGTGAAGATTACTTGGAAAAAATAGAACGCGCGCCGCAGGCAATCTTCATCAAAATCGCTTCAATCTTTCGTTTAAAGCTGATATGAAAATCACTTTAAATCTTTATTTGAGTCATATTTTAATAGTTCTTTGTTTTAATTTAGCAAAATAAAGCTTCTGGATAGACTACAAAATTGAACAGACAGACAAAATTGAACAGAGGGTCAGTGCTGCACAGTCCAAGCTAGAGTTTGTTTCTCTCGGTTAATGTGTTTCCTAAAACGCGCGCTCTAAAATCATTATCCCAAAAATATCATTCGAAATAATTAAGAGTTGGGATCATTTCATGGGAAAACTTTGTTTTTATACATTTTCTGAAAGCTCTTTTCAAGGGCTACACAATGGTAATATTAATATTTAGAAATACGGTAAAGACAAGGGAGTTACAGACGCGCGAAAGTGACGATCTTTTTCCAAATATGATATTTCATTGTCCAGTAGTGTAAGAGTTGGTCCCCTTCATTCACTCACTTGGACACTCGAACAGGCAAGAGCTGGACGAACTTTGTGCAGACATCCAATCGAAGAGTTTTTGGAAATCAAAGAGGAAATCTCTCCTCCAAAATCCGCTCCATTTGCATCACATCGGTAGACGACTGTCTGCGATGAGTCTAGCTGAAAAAAAAAGAGTACTTGCGAACTTTTGCTAACATTTTTTTCCACTCACCACTTCGACAAAAAGTTTAGCAACGGTGAAGTGAACGAAGGGAATCAAAGAAACAAAAAACATTCTAAAGCCACTAACACTTAAACCGGGAGTGAGACAAATGCGACCTTTTTTTGCCGCACCTTGCCCATTAGCGCACCTTTTTTCGCGTTTTAAAAAAGCTCTAAAAAGCTAATATTAACCAATTTCTATTCCAAAAGTTGTTTTTCTAGGTAATTTTAGGGCGTAGAATCGAAATTTTGGCATATCAGAGCTTGTGGAAACAAACGGACCGAGTTATACAAAGAGAAAAATCGACAATTTGTAAATCAACAATTTTCTGTAATTTGATCTAGCCGTTTTGTCTTTCAAATTGGTTCCACACGCTCTGATATGTCAAAATTTGAATTCGACACCCTCAAATTACCCAGAAAAACAACATTTGGAATAGAAATTGGTTAATATTAGCTTTTTAGAACTTTTTTAAAAAACGCGAAAAAAGGTGCGCTAATGGGCAAGGTGCGGAAAAAAAGGTGCGCAAATGTCCGGGTGCGCAAAAAAAGGTCGCATTTGTCCCACTCCCCTTAAACCTCTTAGTTAGACGTAAAAAAAGTTCAACAGCGGCAACAAAAAAAAAAACATTTGAATCATTCTCTGAATTTTGTTGATTCTACGAATGTTGAAAATTGAGTTTTGTTTATTTTGATGGTCTTTTTTCAACGTGATTGATACGATAAACTTTTGCAAGAGCTGTGCGATGAAAATTGTTTCAAAAATGTTCCCAACTTTTTAAACAAACTTTCTAAAGACTCTGAAGTGCTTTAAGTACTAGTTACAGGCTAAAAAAGCTCAATGACATCAAAAATCAGAAGAAAGTTCGGTACTTTTCCAAGATCGGGGGAGCTGAAGGATTATCGGGGGAGCGAAAGGAAAATAGAGCAAATTTGGTACAGCCATGATTCAATTAAGCTTGAGTATCGGTCAATAAGTAATGTAAGACTTGGTCGGATTAGATCAGGATCGATCAAGCTCAAATCAAGCTAGAGTCAAGCCAGTTCTTAGAAATCAAGGTCAATTTGGTACTTTTCCAATGTCGGGGGAGCGGTCCGATTATCGGGGGGAGCGAAAGGAAAATCGAAAAATCAAATTTTGCCCCCTCGAAAAATGCATTTCCGGGACTGTACTGCAACGTTTTTTTTAAACTTTAACGACGTTGCGGTTCTCTGACATTTGTGTGTTCAAGGAATCGACGGCAATCGATTATTTCGTCACCAAAATCCAGTCGTGGATTTGCAACTGTGGCGAATCGATGAAAGTCCACTCAAAGGGAAAAGATTCATTTCGCTGGGTGTTAGATATTTAAGTCACTTTTGTGATCTAATATAAAGATTGTGGGAATAACGGGTAATTCGCGGATTTTATGGTGGTAGTTTGTATAATATAGGACATATGTAGCGCTGCCAAAATTTGCTCCCCCGATTTTCCTTTCGCTCTCCCGATAATCGGACCGCTCCCCCGATATTGGAAAAGTACCGAAAACTTAACAAAATAAACTTTTTAAGCTCTCGAAAATTTGGGCATATTGTAGCAGGAAAAATTTGTATTGGAAATCTTCAAATTTGCGTCTGAATTCTTCACATTAGCATTTAAAGTTGATTGAAAAAAGAATGGTTTCTCTGCGAAGAAACATTATCTTTTTCTTCCTACTCGATTGGTGTCGGCAAAGTGGAGGTGAGGTTTTTTCGTTATTAGTTATTAGTTTTTAGTTATTACTTATTAGTTATTACTTATTAGTTATTACTTATTAGTTATTAGTTTTTAGTTATTACTTATTAGTTATTAGTTTTTAGTTATTACTTATTAGTTATTAATTATTAGTTATTACTTATTAGTTATTAGTTTTTAGTTATTACTTATTAGTTATTAGTTTTTAGTTATTACTTATTAGTTATTAGTTTTTAGTTATTACTTATTAGTTATTACTTATTTATTATTAGTTATTACTTATTAGTTATTACTTATTTATTATTAGTTATTACTTATTAGTTATTAATTATTAGTTATTACTTATTAGTTATTAGTTTTTAGTTATTAGTTTTTAGTTATTACTTATTAGTTATTACTTATTAGTTATTACTTATTAGTTATTAGTTTTTAGTTATTAGTTTTTAGTTATTACTTATTAGTTATTAATTATTAGTTATTACTTATTAATTATTAGTTATTACTTATTAGTTATTAGTTTTTAGTTATTACTTATTAGTTATTACTTATTAGTTATTAATTATTAGTTATTAGTTTTTAGTTATTAATTTTAGTTATTAGTTTTAGTTATTACTTATTAGTTATTACTTATTAGTTATTAGTTTTAGTTATTAGTTTCATTATTTTGGCATTTCTCCCCAACTACACCTTTGATACCAAGAAATAGTAGATTTCAAGAGCTATCATTTGACACCCAAGCGCATACTCTAGCATAAAACAGCGCCGAGAACTGGACGTTCAAAGTTAGACTACGCGACTGTACGCCCGTCATTATGGGAATGGCGTTCTATTAGATTTTTATTAGTTCTATTAGATTTCTATTAGTTCTATTAGATTTCTATTAGTTCTATTAGATTTCTATTAGTTCTATTAGTTCTACGGTGGCCTATTAACCTTTTTTCAGCGCCCACGCGGATCATCGAGTGCCCGAATTGCAATGTCATCATCTTCCTCATCCCCGAATGGCTCGGTGCAATTGAGGGCACAACAGCGACGCCCTCAACTATCACCACAACAAGCACGCGCTCAACCACAACTTGTGGTTCGTTTCTTTTTGTGGTTAACTTACTATTTTGTGGTAGATGAGTACTATAGTTGTAAAGTCATCTTTAGATGGCAGTAGTGTTAAAGATGTAAAAGATTACATAAGAGTTTAAGCTTACATGTGCAGGTGACAGAAACGTTCTGTATTTTGTATTAGACTAGACTATTTTGTATTAGACTTTGGTGAAACTAGCCCGTAATTTGAAACTAGCTATCTGATAATTTTCTTGTTTACAATTTTAAGATAAGAATACAGTTTTAAGAATAAGAATTTAAAGAATATAAAAGAATATAAAAGATTGTCCATCTTTTAAAGTCATTCTAATTATTAATTTTTCAATTTTAGTCACCGCTCCGTCGTTTACCGGTGCTCAATCTCAACCCACAGGCGCCACCATTTGTGCCGCAAAATGCTCAGCCCGCTTTTGTGTTGCCGGTGGGTTTTTGTTTATGTTGACTAATTGTCGATTAGATATTTTAACATCTAATATTTTTAGGTAGTCCCTTTGCTACCACCAGCGCCGGCTCGTCGTCGTCTTGCCGCCAATCCACCGCCACAAGCAAATGTTCAACAGCTGCGTCACGTACCTGCAAGGTTGGTAGTTACAATTAAAGACTAGCTTTTCTACTAAAGTCTAAAGACTACTTATTGTTGTCATGTTGCGTTAGTTGATAAAGCTAAAATGTTCACTTATAATAATTATTTCTTGTTTAGGCGCCGTCTCCGAGGTGTTCGCGAACCACAACCATCCACAACCACCGCCGTCACTTTGGATTCAGCTGGAGAGCAATTGGTGAAGGAGATTGCTGGTTTGTTGTTTGACTAACTAATAAGTGCGATTCTAAACTAGTATTAGGGTTCAGAATATCGAGAATTCTAAATGATCTGACTAATATCTCTTTGTTTTAGATGATCATCGTGCCCGTTTGCGTCGATTCACGCACAACTGTGATATGTCGCCACCAAAAAAGAGCCACTCCAATTTTCCGATTGTTTGTTCTTAAAGAAACTTGATTATTTATTGTGTATTTAGGAAGATTATGAGCAATCGCTCTCAGCGGTTCGTCATCGAGAAGAATTGAAATTACTTGATGAGGTTTATCTAGCTTCTACGGTGAGTTTTCATTAAAACCATCAAACGATGGTTTTAATGAAAACATTTATTTTGCATAACCATTATTCTTTTAGGAAACTTACTCACTTTGGCCAAATCATCGTCGTGCTAAGCTTCTCTATCAGCTCAATGCGTGGTTGGAGCGTTTTCACTTTGAGAAAGAACATGTGAGTTTTGAATGCTATTTTTAGAAAGCACTAGCTTTGATAGTTCTTTTGGTAAACTTTAATGTATCATTTAGTTAACCAACTTGCGACAAGAGCTCGCAGCTCGCCGGAGTCAACTCAAAAACGATCGAAAACTGCTCACCTCGATTGGATCTATGTTGAAGTGAGGGTTTAGAATAATACGTTAAATTTTAAATGATCGGAAGTACTTCTCAAAGCCATCTTCCATCGTAAAATAGAGATTTGTTTTTGGATTTGATGAATGGATAGTTCTCAAGAAAAATTCGCATACATATTTTCTTATTGCTTCATTTTTAGAATGACTTCCGCTGGATTGAGCGATGTGAGCAGTTCGAGCAAAATGATGGGTCGAAAAGGATGACAAGATTGACAAGATGAAAAAGGATGACAAGATTTCGCTCATCTGCACTTCAATAAACGTATCTCTCTCGATTTTCCTTCACAATTCCCCCCATTTTTAAAATGTAACAATCGAATTACTTGATGTGACCTTTTTTGTGGTATAAAAATAAAGTTTTAGCGGTATTTTTATTGTTTTTTACTTCTTCAAGTCAAGTACTTCTTCATCGATAAAGTTTTTGTGGATTAAAATCTGAAAATGACAAGTAGTTGTGGGGTACTTTTGAGCAATTGAAAGAATTTCTGCACTTGACAAGTAAAGCAATGGGTATGCGCTCTGTTCAAGACCAGCCACTTTGGGTTTTAAGAATGAAAAAGATATTGATCACATTTTATTGTCTATTCTCATCATTTAAATCGATTCCGATCACTTTGGAGTCAATAACTGTGCAATTGACATGGGAAACACTTTTTGAGTGAGTTCACGGGCAATTTCAAATGAAAATCCGATTCAGCGAACAAGCCGTTGTATTGAAGATTGCTGTGGAGGAATGGAGAGGAATTGAATGGATTGGAATTGGTTTCTCTGATCATGGAAAGTACAACAATTCGGATTTGTGTGTATTGACCTCGGAACAACGATTGTTGGTGAGTGGGTCGCACTTGGAATGCATTAAGACTTGCAGTTACCGGGAACCGCCCATTTTGCCTAGAACGTGCCTAGAACCGAGATGCCTAAAACTTTAAATGTAAATGAAAATTAACTAAAAAGCAAAATAAAGCTAGAAAGATTCAGCAAAAGGTGTGGACGTTGCTTAAAAAGCGTATCCATAAAGCGAAGCGTACTCGTCGTCGAGAAAAAAAGCTTAAGCTTTGTAGACATAACTTGTCTAACATTTTTTTTTCCTTTTAGCTTCTAGCAAAACAATAAACTTTATCGACATTAAATCCGTGAATGTAAACAAATTAACAAGCAAAAGATAGATGAGATAGATAACAAAGAATCATCCTAGAAGATTCTAAAAACCACGTTGGTACAAAAACTATTTGAATTGGACAGCCCAACACCAAGATATTTGAGCTCAAAGTTAGATTGCCAATGGCAAAGGGGGCGGGCGCGTATAAAAGGTCGTTCGCCCGTCTCTTTTGCCATTGGCAATCTAACTTTGAGCTCAAATATCTTGGTGTTGGGCTGTCCAATTCAAATAGTTTTTGTACTAATCGATAGAGAAAGACTTGGCGCATCTAATGATACCAAGAATTTATAAATTGGACAGATCAACACCAAGATATTTGAGTTCAAAGTTAGATTGCCAATGGCAAAGGGGGCGGGCCATCAAATGTCCCACAATCATTTCAGGATCATTTCGTTGATGATTCGTTCAATTTACGGCTTGATCGGAGTCAAGATTGTGAACTGATGTCTGTATCGAAGACGGTGATTTTCGAAATGACAATGTAAACAAAGCAACGTTTAGGGTTTTGCGTTGAAGCGTCGTTTCGCTACGTGTGATTCAAGGGATTACGCGATTGAGGTGTACAGTTTACAGATAATTAGATAATGCATACTTGGCTTGGAGTACTGTAGCGTACTGTAGCGTTTTAGCAAGGCACCACACAGTTCATCGTGATGGCTTCGGTGAAAAAGCTGGCCGAGATCGCGACAGTGTTGGATCCGGCTGTAGAGAAAAATATCGGTTTTGGGCAGGTGAAATCCATCAGCAAAGCTTCGACGCAAAGCAAAGCTGGTCATTGTCTAGGTGATCGCCTCGGATTCACGAAATGAAGAGCTCGTCGATCAAGAGGCTTTCTCTTTTCAAATCACAGCAAAGGAGTTTGCGGTAATAAAATTTTCAAAACATTTAGATTACTTGGAGAGTTTTGGCTCCTGATAGTCAGCAAGTTATAAGTTCTTCTGATAGTCAGTTATAAGTGTTTCTGATAGTCAGTTATAAGTGCTTCTGTTAGTCAGCTACACATCCAGGTGCCTAGCGATGAGACAACCTATTGGTGCATTGTGCAAAAGATGCCAGAACAGGTCGCTATGCTGAAACATCATGCGATAAAGGTAAGCTATTAGAACTTATCTGAATGCATCTGAATGCACTCATTGTCAGATGGAAGCAATTGTGCAAGATGGCAATGAGCACCTTGTACATCACATGGAGGTAGGCTTGGCAAGAGTAGGCAATTTGTTTGAAGTTCATGGTATCCGGGTTATACCGAGCGTATTTAAAAGCCCGTTAAAGCCTTTAACAGCCTTTAAAAGCCTTTAAAAGCCCGTCAAAGCCCGTTAAAGCCTTTAAAAAACCTGATGCTGTAAGCTGGCTGATGTTTAGATATTTCATTGTGAGAAGCCGCAGAAGAAAGAGTACGAGGGTCGGTGTCGAGACAAATGGAGGCCAAGGGATTCGAACTCTTGCAATCGAGTGATCGCTGCTTGGGCCAAAGGAGCACAGGTATGAGGAAAGGGTGTTTATCTTCTAAATTCTAATATAGTTATTGAAAATAGATCTGAGCTGAGTAGCTGATTCTACAGGCTTACAGCTGAGCTAATTCTACAGGCTGCCAGTTTAAACGTCACTGCTTCACCTCACTGCTTTTCCGAAACCTGTCATCTTTAGGCATTCATCTATCCACCCGAAGCCGGTCTTCCATTAGGCGGACGAGACTCGGTTCCATACATAATGGTCGAGATTCACTACAATAATGAAAAACGCGTGTCCGGTGTGGTTGATAGTTCCGGCTTCAAGTTCACCGTGACGCCGAATTTAAGGTAAATCGTTGGGAGAGGATTTGATCAAAATCAAAGCTTAACACATACTTAACACACAATCAAACCTTAACACAGCTTAAGAGCATTTTTGGCGTACACTCGCGTAGTCGTTAACTGTTTTCTTGATAATTTGGTGTGAATTCCATCTCTATTTCCATCTCTATTCCATCTTCATCTCTACTCTGAGAACGAGCTATTTATAGCCCATTTGTAGTCTCGTCCAATGAGACGAGAAAACAAAGCTGGAAAAAACATTAAATCTCAGCACAGAGAGCATTATTTGGCCTGGTTTTAGTGTCATTCGAAAGCCTAAAGTTTGCTTGATTTCTTGGTAAAAAAAGCTTTGAAAAATCTCTATTCTATGTGTTTCTACAAGGGTTTGTAGTCTGACATTGTAGGTTGTAGTCTGACATTGTAGGTTGTAGTCTGATATTGTAGTTTTTAGTCTGATATTGTAGTTTGTAGTCTGATATTGTAGTTTTTAGTCTGATATTGTAGTTTTTAGTCTGATATTGTAGTTTGTAGGCTGATGTTGGAGTTTGTAGTCTGATATTGTAGTTTGTAGGCTGATATTGTAGGTTGTAGTCTGATATTGTAGTTCGTAGGCTGACATTGTAGTTTGTAGTCTGATATTGTACAGGGTCCGAGAAAAGTATCGTTTTTTTTCGTTTGTCGTTTTTCCAACCATCATATCTTTTTTCAAAATGGAGCTTTTACCATATTTATTGAAAAAAATAACAGATAAATAACGAAAAATTCAAATTTATAACAAGTGTTCGACATTGGATCCCTTGGCTTTGATACAGGCTTTCAGACGCGGGATCACTGGCCCGGTGTCCGCGGTGATCGCTTCTCGATGAGGGCAAGCTTGCATTTCTAAAATACACTTGATGCTTGCACCATTCGAAAGAGGAAAAAAAATCTGAACAAAATTCATGTTTTACACAACGCAAAAGGATGCTTTTAAATCGCATAAAAGTTAGTTCAAAGAGACGCGACAATGCTTTTCTCGGACCCTGGTAGTTTGTAGTCTGATAATGTAGTTTGTAGTCTGATATTGTAGTTTGTAGTCTGATATTGTAGTTTGTAGGCTGATATTGTAGGTTGTAGTCTGATATTGTAGTTTGTAGTCTGATATTGTAGTTTTTAGTCTGATATTGTAGTTTGTAGTCTGATATTGTAGTTTGTAGCGTCCGTGTCTAGTCTAAACGTGTTAAGTGCGTTTTATCCTTGTTTATAAATAATCTTTTATCAAAGTTTCCTTTGCCCTCAAAACCTTTTCAGAGCCAACGACGCGGGAATCATGGAGATCGGCTTGATCTACTCGGACACGATGTCCATTCCACCACAGCAACGCGCTTTCCCATTGACCGCATTTTGCCCGTCGGCTTGCACAAAGCTGGTTTGTTGATGGGAAATCAAAAAAGAATAACTGCTGGGCAAAAAAATAGAATTCAAATATCGTATTTATTCTTTTTTAAGATTTAAGAACCCCTTTAGACCAAAAAATTTTCATTTTTTCAGATTTTTCAACTTTCGGATAGCAAAATGACCAATTTTTTAACGAATTTCAAACGCTTTCAATAATATTTATAGACTAAAAAAGCTTAATGACGTCGAAAATCGAAAATTCAACAAAAATACCCTTTTTGAGCTCTTGAGAATCTTGGTATACAGTGGCTAGAGCATTTTTAATTTTTGAATTGTTTTAGAGTTTTAGAATTTTAGAGAGACATTGAAAAATTGAAGAGCTCTTCTATTAGAATGTTTACGGTAGTTGATGTAGATCGGTAGATTACGGTAGATCACGTACCCGAATTCCAGTACCCTGACGAGGGCATCAACATTTTCGGCTCACAACTCCACGCACATCTCACTGGGCGAAAGCTTTGGACATCGATTTATCGAAAGGGTGCGTTTCGATTTGAAAGAGTTGGCTGTATGCAAAGAATTCATTTCTATTTTGCGTCAACTTTAATCGCTAAGCACAATTCGATAAGGACGATTCGACATGCACAATTCGATAAGCACAATCCTATAAGCACAATCTGATAAGCACAATTCGATAAGCACAATCCGATAAGCACAATCCGTTAAGCACAACCCGATAAGCACGATTCGATAAGCACAATCCGATAAGCACAATCTGATAAGCACAATTCGATAAGCACAATCCGAGGAGCACAATCCACTAAGCACACTCCACTAAGCACAATCCGATAAGCACAATCTGATAAGCACAATCCGTTAAGCACGATTCGATAAGCACAATCCGAGGAGCACAATCCACTAAGCACAATCCACTAAGCACAATCCACTAAGCACAATCCACTAAGCACAATCCACTAAGCACAATCCACTAAGCACAATCCACTAAGCACAATCCGACAAGCACAATCCGATAAGCACAATCCACTAAGCACAATCCACTAAGCACAATCCACTAAGCACAATCCACTAAGCACAATTCGACAAGCACAATCCGATAAGCACAATCCGATAAGCACAATCCGTTAAGCACAATTCGATAAGCACAATCTACTTTTTTAAGAAGAAATTCCGATCAGCTTTGTCGCCTTTTTACGGTTCTTTTACCGGTTTTTTTGGTCTAATAAATAGCTCTAATAAAGAGTAAATAATAATAAATAGCTGTCCAATAAATGGTCTAATAAATAGTCCAATAAATATTCTAATAAATAGTCTAATAAATAGTCTAAAAAATAGTCTAATATATAGCTCTAATAAATAGTCTAATATATAGCTATTGACCTACTGATAAATAGCTATTAACCTAACGATAAATCTACTGAAAAGCAATTGACTGAAATGATTTCAGGTGTGAAAATCGGTGAGATCAATCGTGACAACCACTACTCTCCCCATTGGCAACACATACAAAAACTTGAGCCAAGCATTCGCGTGAGACGAGTCAGTTATAAAATGGAATCTAATACTCATAAAGATAAAGATAAAACAGATAAACAGATAAAATTATCGATTTTCAAAACCGAAAGCTTTTTCTCACATCCAGGGCGACGTTTTGATGACGACTTGTGTCCACGAGACGATTGACCGAAAATCGACGACTTTTGTGAGTTTTCAATGGATGGGATTCAAAATTAGATCACTTTAATTGACTGAATGCTTTACAGAAAAAGGAAAAAAAAGGATCAGCTCAGTATATTTTCATTTGGTACAATCAGAAGCACTCAGAAACGAGGAATTCCTTTGGGTAATCACAGCCAGTCGAAGAAAAAACAACCCCCTTTTTATGACCCCTTTCCCAGCCGTGTGCCAAAAAGCGCGCGATTAGGTGCACGCACAAAGCACACAAAATGATTCATGCAAAAAAAACTTATTTTAAAGTATTTTGCAAGAAATTTGCAGGTTTTGCATGTTTAAACTTGTCAATTCTGAGCTAAATATAATCTTAAAGCTTTTGTTCGTTAGTTGTCAATGAAATATTGTCAATTAAAAGTAGCTTTGGTGTTCAGCTGTTGGCGTTGTTGTTGGCGTTGTTTTTGTCATTGACGGGTGAAATGAAAGGGTTTAGAAACAGGATAATTCCAAAATTGAACTACAAGTTGTACAAGTTGTACAAGTTGTACAAGTAAAATTGTACAATTTGCTTAGGAACACTGAGATTTACAACCGTAGAGTAGTGACCAAGTTTCAAACAACAGGATACAAGTTCAAATATCTTTTGTTATTCTTTAAATTTCAGCTACCGATTTAAAAGCTTTTGTTTTCTTTCTTTGTTCACAAAATGTATCCAATAGGGTGGCTATTCAATCATCGATGAGATGTGCGTCAACTATCTTTATTACTATCCGCAATCCGTGGTCAACGTTTGTAAGAGCTCGGTCAACAATGACACCCTCGCACGCTTCTTTCAGCTCAAGTTTGTTTGTCTATTTAGTTATAAGTAGTTATAGTTATAAGCTATTGTACAGGATGCGCCATAATTGTCGAAAGAAGATAAAGTTCTGATTTTAAAGCAGAGCAAAAAAGACAAGAGCAAAAAAGACAAATTTTTAAATGAATAACATTTATTGTACATTAACAATTATAAATGAACTATCAAATTCGAGTCGATTGCCATTAGCATTTGAGCAGGAAAGCAGTGTTTCGGGAAGGCGTCAACGGTGGGCTCACAGGCATTTGAATAGGCTCACAGTGGCGATGATCGACCAATCCATTGATCAACCAATCCATTGATCGACCAATGGATTGGATCGCCACCGTTGGGTCGACCAAATAAGCTGCATCGAGCTCTTCCCACGCTTTCAACAGTGATTCCTTCAAGCTTTTGATGTTTTTGTGGGGCTTTGAATAAGCTTTGGCTTCTAGAACTGAACATTTTGCTTGTTAAGAAGGCCTTCAAGGGTAAATATCTTTTCATCTGTGAACAAGATATTGTGATGGTCGATTCCATTGAAGCGCATCAATAACTGATCTGCTCTGATCAATTGATCAACGGTGGTGACCAAATAGGCTGCATCGAGCTCTTCCCAGGCTTTCAACCTGTGATTTCTTCAAGCTTTCGATGTTTTTGTGGGGCTTTGAATAAGCTTTGGCTTCTAGAACTGACTACAAGGGAAAATCCATTGGTCCATGGTGAACAAGATATTGTGATGGTCGATTTCATTGAAGCGCATCAATAACTGATCTGCTCTCAAGTTTCGCTTGTTTTTAGCGGCATTCAAAAGAAGTTCAGCCTTATTTTTCTTGCAAGCAGTAAGTTTGAGCTTATTTTTGAGGATCCGACATGTTGCTTGTAATCGCCATCTTCTTTGCCATTTGTTTTGCCGACTGGTTTGGCTTCTTCTGAATTCGGTCCGTCACTTGCTTGCTGTTTGTCTTTGTGACGCCAGGTGGGCGTCTACCGCTCAGGCTCATTTCTTGGTGCATCAGCAATTGTTCCCGTAGCTTTGTAGCGTTGAATAGTGAGGAAAATGACACTTCTGTCGACTCAGAAAAAGAAATGAAGTCCGGGAAGTTATTTTGGCAGAACTCTTGGACTTTCTTGGATTTGTGAGCCGATCCGCCATCTTGCTGATAAGTCGAAATGCGATTTCCAAAATGTTTACGATCCCAGGGCAAGTGTCTATCCTTGAGAAAAGTCAGGTAGTTATTGGAAATGATTTCCACGCCTAGGGGAACAAATATGAGAGGGTGCATCAGCATCGCTTCTTGGTGCATCAGCAATTGTTCTTTCCTGTCGAATCGCTTGCTCGCTGTTTGTATTTGTGACGACAGTTGAGTGTCTACCGCTTCTTGGTGCATCAGCAATTGTTCCCGTAGCTTTGTAGCGTTGAATAGTGAGGAAAATGACACTTCTGTCGACTTTAAGATGCTTATAAACCTCTGGCGCCGATCTCCTCGCTGAATCTTCTCGCTTGTGCAATTCGATGATCGATTTTCAATGGGGATTTTCTAAAATTCTAAAAAACAACACATTTTATATGAAAAAAGTTTCAATTATATTCCAAATATAATAAAAACACAAAAAAGAGCAGAAATGAAGCTTAAATCAACGAGTTATTGTCCTTGATTGGCCTTTTTGCAATTATCCTGTAATTTGGCTCGTATTGTATTTTGTGTGTACAAGTTTAGTAGGCATAGGTGTGTGGCATATTTCAGAGGTGTCCCCTCATCAATAGAAGCAGAAATGAAGCTTAAATCAACGAGTTATTGTCCGTAAAAATTGTTGCGACAATTATGGCGCACCCTGTACATTAGCACACATTTCAGTGGTGTCCCCTCATCAATAAAATTGATCTCCGAGCGGTATGACTCGATTGAATGGAACGGGGAAAATGTGAAGGATTTAATGGAAATGTATTCGACCGCATCACTCAATATGCACTGTTTACAAGATGACGGGACATTGTTCAAGGTTTGCTAGGGTAAATAGAGAAATAAAGTGATAAAGCCTTAAACTTTTGATGTACTTGTGCAATACTTGTACTTGTACATGTGCTCAAATTGCAAATGCACCCGTTCTGGTTTGCAAATCTGATTTTGCACTGGTTTTGGTCTTGCAAATCTTCTTGCAATGATTTGTTTTTGCTCGAAAACACTGCCGGAAGAAAACCGAAGAATCGAGTGCACCAGAAAGGGTGTGTTTGCGAATTACAAATCAAATTAGGATCGCGAAGTGAACTGGTCGAGTGTTTGGCGTCCTCGAGCCATCGCCCCGCCATTCGACCGATCTCCGCAACGTGTCGAGTGTCCGGCGATCAATGACTGAACTTTCTATTCATTGCGCTACATTGACAGTGCAAAACAGTTCACAGTTCAACTTGTAATAAACTTGTGTGCAGTGTGTGAGAGAATACCGATAGGGGCGATGATTATTAGATATTTATTCTGAATCTAGCAAGAAAATACAATAAAATATTAGGTTGATGCAAAAGTCTTTTTCATTTTTTCATTTCATTTCGTACTTCCGTTAGAAAGTAACAAATGCACCAATTGAACAACGGTTTATTGCATTCGAAAGGCCAATTATTTTTCTGCAAAATGACATTAAAACGAGTTTAAAATGTCTTATGTCTAGATTTTTTTGAGCAAAGCCTGAAGTCGGGTAGTCAAAAAAGGCGACGGCTCGATGATGCATTTTAGACGCTTTAGCTAAGGAAACCAATCTTGATGTTAATAAATAAAAGATAGAGCACAAAAAGTTAGATATTTTTTCAGATTTTCAGAGAAATTGATTCAGCCAATTTCTTTATAGAGGTTTTTATAGATTTTTATGACAAAACCCGTTTTCACTCTCGAATTTGCTTGAAAGTGAACCCAAATTGACTTAAAAAGATGGGAAATTCAACAATAAACACTTTTCATTTAGAGCAAACCATAGGTTAATTGATGACTTTGTTATTTTTCAAAAGAAGTACGAAAAAAATGAAAAAGACTTTTGCATCAACCTAATAGAATTAATCGTTGGTTCAGTGTTTCATGGCGATACAAAAGGAATATACGGAAAGAATATACGAAAAGAATATAAAAAGAGCCAATGTAAAGTGGGCTCCGACCCTTTTATCTGTCCCTTTATCTTAAAAGCAATCTTTCAGAGGCGGGACAAGAAAACCAGACATTCAAATCAAAACATTAAATAAGATTTCACAGAAAAGAACCACTTTTCTGCACAACTTGTGATTATTATCAGAGTGTAAAGAACACAATGCGTGTTTTTTTGATCAAAACTATTGAACGAAAAAACTCAAACAAGCAAAGATCAAACGGTAAGGCATTCTCCTTTGTATCGATGACTTCTTCCTGTCTTCTGCGCAGATCCCTAATCGAATCGTCGATTTCAAACGGTTCCTTAGAGGTAAAATAGGCGTAGAGCTTATTTATGACTTGAGCATGATTATCAAACTGTACATCAAGAAGTGTACACGAAAATACATCAAGAAGTGTACACGAAAATACATCAAGAAGTGTACAAACTGTACACCAAAATCAAAATAATCTAACGGTGCAAGGTCAGGGAGTAAGGTTTGTGAGGGAAAAGTTTCCAACCTAGCTCCTCAATTCTTTTATGAGTGGCTTTTGCAGTGTGGGGTTTAGCGTTATTTGCAGAAATCAGATTCTTGACGGTTTGATCCCCAATTTCTGCAAGTAGAAAAGCTACTTGCAGAAGAGCTAGATGCAGAAGAGCTACTTGCAGAAGAGCTAGATGCAGAAGAGCTACTTGCAGAAGAGCTAGATGCAGAAGAGCTACTTGCAGAAGAGCTAGATGCAGAAGAGCTAGATGCAGAAGAGCTAGATGCAGAAGAGCTAGATGCAGAAGAGCTAGATGCAGAAGAGCTACATGCAGAAGAGCTACTTGCAAAACATTATATGCAAAACATCCAAACCAATCATGGCTTGAACCATCAATAAAGATTAACGGTACTTGTCGGTTATACATCCACAGAGACTCAACTCGGTTAAGCAAGGCTGACACGGCTGACAACTTCTGAGTGGTGATTATGTTCAGTGAAGTAGAGTGCTCGTCTGAAGTGATCAGTTGATCAGTTGAACGAAGAATCGATAACCGAGAAGACTCGGATGGGGATGCTTAATCGAGATGAGTTTTTGTGGATGTATAACCGACAAATACCAGATTAAAAATGCAGATAATATAAAGATTACGATAAGTTTTCCCGTGATGACTCATCCAGGAACTTTAAGTTCATCAAAACAATACTGGAAATCCGATTAGTCACCAAATTTTCAGCCGCTTTCAAATGTTTTTCCTCTTCGAAAGCTCCACAAAACGACAGCTGTTTGTCATTTTTATCGAGAAAGACTTGAGATTTTGATGCTCAAACTTTTGGTTACTTAAAGGAGTCCTGATCTGAGCAAACGTTCGAAAAATCTCAAGTTTTTGAGAAATTTTTTCAGTAAAACGTTTCAATTTTTAGTTTTAAACTGTTTTTATGCTTTATCGTTTAACTTTAATAGTTTAGTTACTTTAATAGTTTAAAATTCAGGTCTTATAACTTAAAGGCGACTTTTCAATGAGTTTCAGAGGTTTAAAGCTCCAGAACTAGCTCTAGAACCAGCTCCAGAACTAGCTCCAGAACTAGCTCTAGAACTAGCTCCAGAACTAGCTCTAGAACCAGCTCCAGAACTAGCTCCAGAACTAGCTCTAGAACTAGCTCCAGAACTAGCTCTAGAACCAGCTCCAGAACTAGCTCCAGAACTAGCTCTAGAACTAGCTCCAGAACTAGCTCTAGAACCAGCTCCAGAACTAGCTCTAGAACCAGCTCCAGAACTAGCTCCAGAACTAGCTCTAGAACTAGCTCCAGAACTAGCTCTAGAACCAGCTCCAGAACTAGCTCTAGAACCAGCTCCAGAACTAGCTCCAGAACTAGCTCTAGAACTAGCTCCAGAACTAGCTCTAGAACCAGCTCCAGAACTAGCTCTAGAACCAGCTCCAGAACTAGCGAACTAGCTTCAGAACTAGCTCCAGAACTAGCTCCAGAACTAGCTCTAGAACTAGCTCCAGAACTAGCTCTAGAACCAGCTCCAGAACTAGCGAACTAGCTTCAGAACTAGCTCCAGAACTAGCTCCAGAACTAGCTCTAGAACTAGCTCCAGAACTAGCTCTAGAACCAGCTCCAGAACTAGCGAACTAGCTTCAAAACTAGCTCCAGAACTAACTCCAGAACTAGCTCCAGAACTATGCTTAAAGACAATATTATTATTAATTCTTTAGATCATTTGAAAGAAGATATTTCAGGCTTTTGAATGATATAAAATAGAGATTATTTGAGGAATTTAATTTTATGAAAATCAAGAGTTAAGAAGCTGATCTTTTTTTTGGTCAAATTCGTTTTAGTTTTTTAGTTTTCATAAGACTGAAGCAACATTTGGTATCATTTAAAAGCCTCATTTTTCCTTATTAAAACAATATAAAAAGTTAGCAATCATTATCTCTAAAGAAAGGTACCGTAAATACTGTAATAGTACCCCACCCGCATAATGACGGTGCAGAGTGTTGCGTAGTCTAGCTTTGAACGCGTTTTTCTCGACACTGGTTTATGCTACAATGCGCGCTTAGGTATCAAAAAATAGCTGAAATTCAGGGCTATTTTTTGAAGCTCCGTTTCGAGCTCCGTTTCCTCGTCTTCAACCTCACCCGATCTGATTTTCTGAACTCACCCTTCATTCTTAATTGCTTCAAACAGTTCTCGTATCTTTCCCCAAAATCGTTGCGATTGTTGGCTTAGACAATTGCGACTACGCGATTGTACGAGGGAGGTGGGGTACTATTACAGTCTTTACGGTATGTACTTTTTGTCTCTAAAGAAAGTTATGTACTTTTAAACGTTGACTACTCATTGAAAAGTCGTTCTGAAGTTAAAAGAGCCAAATTTTCTTGATGATTAGATCAATTGTTGTTGGAGCTGATTGTTGGATCTGATTGTTGAATCTGATTGTTGGAGCTGATTGTTAGAGGTGATTGTTAGAGCTGATTGTTGGAGCTGATTGTTGGAGCTGATTGTTAGAGGTGATTGTTAGAGGTGATTGTTAGAGCTGATTGTTGGAGCTGATTGTTAGAGGTGATTGTTAGAGCTGATTGTTGGAGCTGATTGTTGGAGCTGATTGTTAGAGGTGATTGTTGGATCTGATTGTTGGAGCTGATTGTTAGAGCTGAAGATCAATGAACTTTATGATAACATAAAGCCATGCCAAAAGGATTTTTGCTTTCAGATGTTAGGCAAAATCGTTGCTGTGCTTTCCTTTGTGTCAATGGTTTCGGCTCAAATCGAGTGCTATGATTACACGTTGATCGGTGGTTATAATTTGGGATCCGAGAAAATCGTGTGCAAAGAAGGTGAGGAAGTATTCGTTTACAGTTCTTTGAGTTATGCTTGTAACGAAAAATCTGTCGGTTCTTTTTTGCCGTTGGCAATTTAAGGTTGTGTTTTTCTCAGCAGCAACGCTTCTATTTTGGTTATTTTGATTATCATTCAATGCAGAATGAAATTGCGCATCGAATGACACCAAAAACAACTCAAGATCTAATATCCACGCAAAGTTATGGGCTAAAAACCTAAGCTCCACGAATTATGGGCGGAACTTAACCTTTTGCCTCATAACTTTACGTGAATATTAGATCTTGAGTTGTTTTTGGTATCATTCGATGCGCAATTTCATTCTGCATCGAATGATAACCAAAATAAACAAAATAGAAGCGTTGCGGCTGAGAAAGGCACGCAAAAGCTTAAATTGCCAACGACAAAAAAGAACCGACAGATTTTTTCGTTACAAGTTTACTTTGCGTGTACTTTGAGCTGCAAACATGACCTTTCTGGCGCTCTTAATTCTCTATCTCGATACACTAAGTTGCAATGAGAAAACGAAGAATCGAGTGCACCAAAAAGGGGGCGTTTGCAGATTTGAGCACACAGTACACTAATCAAACAGTACACAGTACACAGTACACAGTACACAGTACAGTACCCATTTGGCTTATGTCTAAAAGTTTATCTTCACTTGATTACTAAAAGAATAAGCTGATCGTCATCGATGATATGCACTTTCTGCGCTCAAACCAGCAAACAAACCCTTTCTGGCGCACTATAGATCTGACTTTTTGCAGGTCAATCCTGTTACAACATGATGGCCATGCACGAGAACACGAGTATCATTCGATCGGGTGGATGTGTGCACAACACACTGTGCTCGATTACGGTAAGCTATTGTAGCCTTCCCTTCCACAGTACACCTTTATCTGACTCTTGATTT